CAGTCTGGGCAACAGAGTAAGACTCCAACTAAAAAAATAAATAAATAAATAAAATAAAATATGTATTCAATGACAATTATTGTTGGTTGTAAAAATACTGATAACATTTATTTTCAGTATTAGGTATGTGATAATCCTATACTATAGGTGCTATAACTTGTTTAAGCATATTTCTGGTAAGTGAATTCCATTTTTCATTGATTTACCCCCATAAAAATATTTCCACAGAAAACGTTAGCCAAAAGCTACTGAGTTAGTCTACTATTTTAAATGTGGGCTAACCTTATGGCTTGGTATGGTAGCTGGGAATGGCAAATTCATCCAGTAGTACTTTTATCACTTTTCTAACTCAAAAATGAGACTCCTTGCTCATGGTTATTTTGTTAAGCCTGTGCATACACAGGCATATACAAGTATACCCTTGTATAATAATAAGCCATAAGAGAGATTCAGAAATTTTCCAATTATTTTGATAGCCCAAACTCTTTTTCTATATAGCAATGAAAATGAAATACATATATCAACAATTTTGATGGGAAAAAGCAAGTCAGAAAAATACAGAGAGCAAGATGTCATTTTCATAAAGTCCAAAAGTACACAATAATATATTTTATGCCTTCAAACACATACATTAAGTGTATAACAAAACACAAACAGAATGAGAGGAAGAAAAAAAAAAAAGCAAAACAGGTGCTTCCTCAAGGTATCTAGAGAAAAATGTAAGAGAGTGCTTTATGGATTGGTAATGTTACATTGATCTGGACATTTACTTACAAGTTTCTATTTGAAGTCAACTTCAAACTCAAACTTTACTAAGATCACATACAACAAAATCCTTATCATAAAAGTTTTCAGATTGTATAAAGAAGTTAATGTCCTTTTACTGACTGTAAATAAAAGGTCTCACCGGGTTCGGTGTTCAGCCTATAATCCCGCGCTTTGGGAAGCTGAGGTGAGTGAATTGCCTGAGCCCGCAGGTTCGAGACCCGCCTGGGCAACTTGGCGAGACCTCATCTCTACAATAGATAAAAAATTAGCCGGGTGTGGTAGCACATGCCTGTAGTTCCAGCTTGGAAGGCTGAGAGGGAAGGATCACTGGAGCCCAGCAGGTCGAAGCTGCGGTGGCCCGAAGCGTGCCACTGCACTCCAGTACGGGTGACAGAGTGAGACTCCAACTCAAAAAAAATGAAATAAAATAAAATAAAGGTTCCCAACACTTTTTTAAATGAGGAAGTTATTTGTAAATATAAGCTTTGTTAATATCAGTTCAAAACTACAGGTCAATATTTATCTTTCTCCAGAAACTGGACTATATCCTTAATGTATTTATGTTTACGCATGTTATATACATATATACATATACTAATTACTATATGTATACACTAGTGAATACATATATATAGTTCTAGCAACTTCGACTGAAAGTTAAGTGCCAACATTTTTTACTATGAGCCACTGACCAAAAGGATAAAATGCTTGGGACCCACGTTGGGTAAAAAGAAATTTTTTTCTATATTTTTATTTTAAAGAATTCTACTAAATTGTAAATAGAAAATGTTACATTCTATTTCATAAATGCAGTATTATATTATATAACTTATATAAGTTATATGGTCATTTAAGTAATTATTATGGTCAGATTTAAAAAATGCTTAGAAAGTACTGTTTGGAAGTATACAAACACAGAAACAAAAAAAGACAAAACCAGGAAGGGGGGGGTCAGTTGAAAATGGGTAATCACAGACTGAAATTAAGTTTTATTTAGAATGAAATTGAACCAGTAGAAGAAAGCCAAAAACTCTGGAAAGAATGCCTTAAACACCTCAGACCAAAATTAATTTTAAAATACAACAATCTCAAAATAAATTTATACATTTCACACTATTTATAAACAAAGAGCAACAAGTAGCAGATACTAAGAAAACAACTGCCCAATAAACTCCAATGACAGACTAGAGGTGAAAACCCAGCAACATGTATATGACAGCTGTACTTTTCCTTTTGTATACTTTTCAGAAGGCATGTTTCCTAACAGCATGTGCTTTTGACAGAAGTGCATAAATTGTTTATAGTAAAGGCAATATAGTCCCGTGGTTATATTTCTGCTAAAATCTAATTTTTAATATATATTTAAAGTATAGGCTGTGTGCTCAATCGCAGCACTTTTGAAGGCTGAGGTGGGAGGATTGCTTGAAAATAAAAAAACTAATGAAGTCTGAGACAGAAGGATTGCCTGAGCCACGAGGTCATGGCTGTGGTGAGCCACAATTATGCCAGGCACTCCAAGCTAGGGCGACAAAGAGACCGTAACTCAAAAATTAAATAAATAAAAAATAAAATAATACAGCTGGGTGTGGTGGCTCATGCTGGTAATCCCCACACACTGGGAGGCCAAGGTGGGAGGACTACTTGAGTCCAGGAGTTCAAGATCAGCCTGGGCAACATAGTGAGACCTCATCTCCACAATAAATAAAAAATTAGCTGGGCGTGGTGGCACATACCTATAGTTGCTGCGGCTCAGCTCATGCCTGTAATCCCAGCACTTTGGGAGGCTGAGGCAGGAGGATCGCTTGAGCCCAGGAAGTCAAGCCCACAGTGAGCCATGATCACACCACTGCGTTCCAGCCTGGGTGACAGAGTAAGATAGCAACTCAAAAATAAATACATATCCAGTGGCCAACAACAAAGTGTTTATTTATTCAAGTCAGTTAGAAATGAAATGAGAATACAAAGTTTCATAAGCCCTTAATTTTTATAATTTTCCAAATCATATATATATATATATATATATATAAGATGCATTTTAAAAACAGGCAATTAATATTCTCCCTTTCTCTCTTTTTCAATTGTAAAAGTATGGATCCAGTAAAATTTACTCAGATCTATAAAATCAGCTTTCCTGATAGAGCTGTCTTGCTTAAATCAGTCTAAATACCAGTTTTCCTCATATAAGAAAGCAATGTTCCTTCATGGATGTTTTAGCTACACTTGGACATGCTTACTATTTCCTTGAAATTTAAAAATATTGAAGTAAAACAACATGTATATTAACAGCAATCACTGACATAAAATTGACACAAAGTCAATTTTAGTGATAAAATCCTCTTAGAAGTATAGTGATAAGCCTTCCATGGAAGGCTTTTTGTCTCACAGCATGGCCCTAATATGGTTCTCACTAAGATAGTTATTAGTATAGTTATATAAGCCAGGCTCGGTGGCTCAGCCTGTAATCCCGTGCCTTTGGGAGGCTAAGGTGAGTGGATTGCTTGAGCCCGCGGGTTCAAGACCCATCTGGGCAACTTGGTGAGACCTCATCTCTACAATAAATCAAAAATTAGCCGGATGTGGTAGTGCATGCCTGTAGCTCCAGCTACTTGGAAGGCTGAGGCGGAAGGATCGCTGGAGCCTAGCAGGTCGAGGCTGCGGTGACCGGGAGCGGCCACTGCACTCCAGTCTGGGCAACAGTGAGACTCCAACTCAAAAAAGTATAGTTATATAGCAATACATAACTAATAAATACATAATACAGTTATTTCTTAAGAAATACCAGTTCCAAAAGGGAAAAAAATTACCAGTAAAAACAGATTTTAATATTACCTGTCCAAAATACACTAATAAAACTTATCCTACAAGCCACATGAGGTAGCAGTGAAAAAGAAATGTACGTGAAAAAGATAATGTACATGAATATGCTCTGTAAACTCTATTATGAATACAAATGTGAATAGCTATTATTCCCATGTCACCAATATCTATGACCTGTCATTTTGCCCCTGACATCTCTCCACAACTACAGCAAAATAATAACTGCTATTACTCCAAGAGAGTATAAAAGTCTAAAAGTTATTTGATATATTAATTAGAGTATTCTCAATTTGGTTTTTTTGCTTGTTTGTTTGTTTTTTGAGTTGGGGTTTCACTCTGTCCACCCAGGCTGAAGTGCAGTGGCACAATCAGAGCTCACCATAGCCTTGACCTCCTAGGCTCAGGCAATCCGCCCCCTCAGCCTCCCAAGTAGCTGTGAGGTGCATGCCACCACAATCAATAAATTTTTTAATTTTTTTGGAGCGACAATGTCTCTTTAAGTAGCCTAGGTTGGTCTCCAACTCCTGGCTCAAACAAACCTCTCACCTCGGCCTCCCAAGGTGATGAGACTGATTTCAGATGTGAGCCACTATGCCCCGGCTCAATTTTTTTAAATTGGCAACTTATATATAGTAACTGAATTTGTTCATCAACTCTAATTTTGATCAATCTTCCTTTTGCCATAGACAGACAAGACCACAGAGGCATCTATCCTACTGGCTTCTTCTGCAGTGACATGCAAAGATAACAGAAATGAGGAATTCCAGAGGTGAGCACTGGCCATACCAGTGTCAGAAATGAAGAAAAGACAGCTGGTGGACCAGGTGCAGTGGCTCATGCCTGTAATCCCAGAACTTTGGGAGGCTGAGGGAGGAGGATCACTTAATTCCAGGAGTTCAAGACCATCATAGGCAACACAGGGAGACCATGTGTCTCTACAAAAAATAAATGACAGCTGGTGTAGTACAGACCACCCAGAAGGAAAATATAAAATCCAGTTTCCACTGAGGAATCTTTGTTCCTGGCTTTCAATTTGAACTTCCTCTGCAATGTGTTGCAGAAATAAAAGTTGGAGCCAGAGACACTGGGATGTGAAAACCAGGAATGTTTTAGCACTGGTGACTTTAATTTTAAATTTAGGATGGCAAATACCATAAAAACAAAAGAAGACACTAAACATCTAAATCATTAGGTTCATTCTATCTGTGGAGATCTATTATACTGTGACAAAGACATCTTCTACATTAGTCTTAAAAGGGTAAAGTGGGGTGGAAATTGTAATAAATGCCAAACTTACAATTCTTGTAGCAAGGTTGCCTGAAGGGTCTTCCTTTTGAAAAGGCAATTGCCACTATGAGGTACTGAAAACTGGAAATAAAAAACACTGTGGTATTTTCATAATTCTGTATATTATGTTCATCAAGTTCAGTTTCGTTGTGTAAGTGTGAAGAATTCCAATACGGGTTTCTTGTTGTATTACAAGCACTACAACACATGCAAAAATTTCGTATTAGTAAATACAACACTCATTTCCTAAAAGAGGAAATTTTCCTAAAATTCTACCCTAATTGCATTGACTCAGTTTTATAACAAATAGCAGTAAGATATTATTTACAGTAAAAGATCCAATAATACTAATATAAGATATAAATAACAGGTAGAAGAATATTAAGAGTTTTCTCTTTAGTCAGACCTTCCAACCAGTTAAAAAATCAGAATGAAGTAATAAATATTCAGTAAGCCATCCTTTTTTTTATTTGTTTGCTTGTTTTTGTTTCTTTTTTTTAATTTGGGGAATAATTACAGCAAGTGAAGGTAAAAAGATCATGGGTCTGGTCCTCACATCATTACTTTTTAGGGTTAACTGAGGAAATATTTCTTTTCTAAGCATATTTCATCACCTGAAGTATAGATACCACCTGCTTTATCAAAAAGTCGCTGTGGAGATTGAGGAGGCTGACATGTGGAAATGCTTAGCAAAGCATTTGTATTGAGGTGGCCCTTAATATTCTCTAGCTAGGCCTCTTCCTCGTTTCTACTTGCTGGTGAGCAGCACCGTCAGGCATGCACAGTATAAAGTATGAGAAGTCCCCAACATCCATTACTAAGATATTAACAACTGTAAACACAAGTAAGTGGAAACAAAATGTTCATCTGTTATAAACAAACTCTAGAAAGATTCTCCAGACAATTCCACCTCTTCCTTTTCATATGCAGTGTTTGTATTCACATAAGAATATGTTAAACTTCTTAAATTTTCTAAAACTTTTAAAACAATATTATCGATCAAACTAATAGTAAGGTTGTATCTGAAAAATGTAATTACAATACTTATCTTAGTAAATATGTTTATGTAATTAAACTTACATGCTTAATTAATTTGTGATCTGTAAAGCACTCTAAAAATAGAGGATACACTTAATGCCTTTTTTTCCTAAGTTTCAAATGTAATTTCCTAAACTGGGGGAAGAAATGTTAGCAGCATGAACACTCTGGATTTAGGAAAGGCCATAGAGATTAATTCCTATTTTCTCATTTTATAGATAAGATAAAGATGGCTCAGACACAAATTAAGAAACTAGTCTAAAGTCCTGATCTTTGTAGTAATTATAAAGACCTTGCCTGAACACCCTCCTAAAGATAGCAGTTGCTGTGATATAACTTTGCTCAAAAAAGGAACAGAACAGTCCATAATATTTAAGTGATTAAATCAATCTGCATGCAACTTACAAACATACATTATTGACTGATTGATTGACATAGAGTCTTTGCCAGGCTGGAATGCAGTGGTGTGACCATAGCCACAAGCTCCTAGGTTCAGGCAATCCATCTGCCTCAGCCCCACGAGTAGCTGGGACTACTGGTCCAACTCATTGTGCCTGGCTAATATTTTAATTTTAATGAGATGCAGGTCTTATTTGGTTGCTTAGTACAGTTTGAAACTCCTAGCTTCAACTGATCCTCTCACCTTGGGCTTCCATAGTGCTGGGATTGCAAGTGTGACCCACAGCGTCCAGTTGGCACAACCTTTTTATCCCCCTCCACTTTTTTCCTGCTGTACTAATGTATTCCATGTTTCAAAAAGAAAGACATAATTTTAATATTACTTAACAATATGTTTTAAAAAGTAGCCAGGCAGGCCTCCATGTTAATAAAGTCATATACTCTCTAACAGTCTTGATGGTGAGTACTGGGTCACTGATTTTTGTTTGTAACTCTTGATCTTTGGGGATCTACACAAGCCAACTGCAAGTCAGGGAGATCAAACAGTAAATTGTGGAACAGCATGGAAGAGGCCTGTGCCACCCAGTCTGTCTTGGTGATGCAAACTTTTATATAAACTTCTAGACTCATTTTTATGTCTGTGTTGCACACATTTTGCACAGATTTTTACATGGATTGACTGACTTACTCTGAATGTGGATGCCACACTTCATACCAAGGTTGCTGCTTGACCCAAAAAAACCCCAAAGATTGAAATCCAATGCAGATGATAATCTGAGACAAAACGGAGAAGAGAAGGGCCCCAGATATAAGACCTGAAGGTGGTCTCTGTGCCACAAGTTCCTTCCAGGCAGGATTTAAACTCACTATATCGAAAAGAAAAGAGGAAAGGTTTGTACCTAAATTAATTTGTCACAATAAAAGACATAATCAGATTCATTTAGGAACTTTAAACATTTGTTTTTATCTACTAATTCTTTAACATGAAAAATCTCCAAAAACCAAGCCAGACACTATACATATTTAAATAATCTATAAAAGTAAATAGTTCTGGCTTTTTCAAAAATGCCTCAGAAATAATTTTCACATTTCTACTGAAATTCAGCAGAAACATTAGTACAAATAAAAATAATACTAAATATGGCCGGGCACAGTGGCTCACGCCTATAATCCCAGCACTTTGAGAGGCCGAGGTGAGAGGACTGCCTGAACCCACAGGTTCAAGACCAGCCTGGGCAACTTGGTGAGACCTCATCTCTACAATAAATCAAAAAAATCAGCTGGGCATGGAGGTGCACACCTGTGGTCCCAGCTACTTGGAAGGTTGAGGAGGAAGGATCACCTGAGCCCAGAGGTCAAGGCTGCAGTGGCCATGACCGTGCCACTGCACTTCAGCCTGGGTGACAGAGTGAGACTCCGACTAAAAAAAAAAAAATAATAATAATACTAGATATAAGCACAAAAATTATAAAATTAACACTACCATATATTTGACAAAGAGACCATTATCTGCTGAATCTTAAATTGCAAAGCTGCAGTTAAAATATGTATTTCTTCCTTGTTAGAAAACATTAACAATGGTTTGAAGCATTATAAACATAGTAGAAACATTTTTTAAAGGCTTTGATTCTTTAATAAGGCTCACCACATTTTTTACCAAGAAGTTTCCTACTTTTCTCTTTGTAACTATTAACTTGGGAAGAAGATTCCTTGAGACTGATAAAAATCCTGCTCCTCATCAAACTTTCATCCACAAGTTTTATCATCTACTAAAGGTTATCTAACTCAGTGGTACTCAACCAGAGGTGATTTTGCACCTGCAGGGAACACTTGTTAATGTCTGGGAAATGTTTTGGTTGTAACAACTTGGAGAGTTGGAGAGTTACTGGCATCTAGTAGAGAAGGGGCCAGAGATGTTGCTGAGCACTCCATAACAAAGAACTATCTGCTTAAAATGACAATAAGAGTGCTCACTTCAGTAGCACATATACTAACATTGGAACGATACAGAAAAGATTAGCATGGCCCTTACACAAGGATGACACGCAAATTCGCAAAGCGTTACATATTTTAAAAAAAGACGAGGGTCTCTCCATACTCTATTATTCCTTCTTTTTTTATTAGTTAGCATTTACTTTAAGGAAGAGCTTTCCCTTCTCATTCATTTAAGGATTTGTACATTTTTATTTGGTTCAGTGGGTCATATACCATTAATCATCACTTATTTATTTCTATATTGCTATCACCAATACTAGGGCAGACCAGCAACGTGTGCCTCCTTATATGGTGTGTCTAGAAGAACACAACATTGCTTCTGTGACGATATTCCCACCAAAAATTCATAGCCTGAGTGTAAAGAAAATAAATCAGACAAACATATATTCACTAGCTCATACTGCTTCATAAAAGTTAATACCAAGCCATGTGTGGTGGCTCAAACCTGTAATCCCAGCACTTTGGGAAGCTGAAGCGAGAGGATTGCCTAAGCTCAGGGGTTCAAAACCAGCCTGGGCAACATGGTGAAAGCTCGTCTCTACCATAAATCAAAAAAATAAGCTGGGCATGGTAGTGCTTGCCTGCAGTTCCAGCTACTTGGAAGGTTGAAGTGGAAGGACTGCTTGAGCCAGCAGGTCGAGGCTGTGGTGGCTGTGAACATGCCACTGCACTCCAGCCTGGGCAACAGAGTGAGACTCTGACTAAAAAAAACCCAAAAAATAAAACGTTAATACTAAGATGCCCCCCAAAAAGGCTGAGGGACTGCTTCAGATTAAAGAAGAACTATATAGACATGATAATTAAATGAAATGTGTGGGCCTGGGTTTTTTAATATATACATATATAATGTACAGAGAAAGAGAGAGAGAGAGAAAGAGAGAGAGAGACTGAGAATATATCATTAGGCATTAGCTTCTCATAAGAAGCGTACAACCAGCCAGGCTCGGTGGCTCAGCCTGTAATCCAAGCACTTTGGGAGGCCAAGGCGAGTGAATTGCCTGAGCCCATGGGTTTGTGACCAACTCAGCCAACTTGGCGAGACCTTGTCTCTACAATAAATCAAAAATTAGCCGGACGTGGTAGCGCACGCCTGTAGTTCCGGCTACTTGGAAAGCTGAGGCGGAAGGACTGCCGAAGCCCAGCAGGTCAAGGCTGTGGTGGCCAGGAGCATGCCACCGCACTCCATTCTGGGCGACAGAGTGAGACTCGGAAAAAAAGAAGCATACAACCTAGATCCCTCACACGCGAAGTTCCCAATAGGGTTCCTGCTCCTATGAGAATCTAATGCTGCCGCTCATCTTACAGGAAGGTGGAGATCTGCTCACCCGTCATTCACCTTCCTGCTTATGCAGCCCAGTTCCTAACAGACCACGAACCGGTACCAGTTCAAGGCCCAGGATCGGGGACCCCTGAGCTAGAGGGGCTTTGGGGAAAAAAGGTATAAAGGACATTATTGGGACAAATGACAAAATATGAATATGAGCTTTGGACTAGATAATATTAAATCAATGTTAAACTTCCTGGTTTTATAACTTTAGTGACATAAGAAAATGACTTTGTTTTTAGGAAATACACACTAAAATCAGAGGCAAAGTCATGATAACTCAAAACTTAATTTTCAACTATTTCAGGAAAAATTAAATAGAGACAAAACAATAAAACAGGGACAAAATATAAACAACGGGTAATAAAAGTACATTTACAAGAAATCTGGAGACGTATGAGCTATGTTACAACTGTTGATATAAATTTACCAAAGTTTAGGTTAAGTCACATCAGAATTTTATACACTTTAAAATCATTAACAAAACAGAATACTCACTTGTAAATACCACTACCAAAATGATTGCCAGATCAATGAAGAGAAACTGGAAGTCTCCTAGGTTACTTAAGATCTACAGAAGTAATTTTTAAAACATAATTAGCTTTCAGAACTATTTTTATAGCATTGTCCCAGGTTATAGTTTGGTTTTACCAATAACTATGACTTAAAAATGACACCTGGACCTGCTTAAAAATTGAAATACTGTTGCCTTTGAAATTAACCCAATATATATTTACAAGCATTTGATTTAAAAATCAGTATAAAGGCAGTCCCTTAAAATTCATTCAATAAAAACATTTCAAGAGTTTTCCGAGCCAGGTGCAGTGGCTCACGCCTACAATCCCAGCACTTTGGAAGGCGGAGGCAAGAGGAAAGGATTGCATGAGCCCAAGGGTTCAAGAACAGCCTGGGCAATTTGGCGAGACCTGGTCTCTATAATAAAACAAAAAATTAGTCAGGCATGGTGGCAGGTGCCTGTGGTTCCAGCTACTTAGAAGGCTGAGGCTGTAGTGGTCATGAGCGTGCCATGGTACTCCAGCCTGGGTGACAGAGTGAGACTCTGACTTAAAAAAAAAAACACAAAACATTTCTGGCCTAAAGAAAACACAAACTTGTATTCAAAATATCCTAACTTATAAATTGGTATCCTGAAGTTTCTTAAATATCTAACACCATATATTCTGATACTTTCTACAAATGGTAAGTAAGAATAGTTTTATTACGATTTGTTGGGATGTCACCAGTGTTCATTTAGAGAAAAATCTACAGTTAGAACACTTCAATCATTAAATCCAACAGAGTAACTATGAACACCACAGTTTATAAGTGTTCTCCAAATGGATGATGTCCTACAAACTATTGCTGAAACATCCTTTCCCATTCTACCCAATCCTGAAAATGTATGACAAAGTTAACTACAATTCTGAACTATGCCACAGCTTGACATTTGAAAGTTTTGAGATGTCCAATTGGCACTAAAGACAAAAATGAATACAATCATCTTTTATTCACAAGGCATTATTTATAGTTGCTGACCTTAAGGAAAATCCTATCCAGATTAATGAAATTTTCAATTTGCTACTCCAATTACAGTAAACTGAAGGTAAATTTATAGATATTTCTTGCACAAATTCCATTATTAATGCATGCATTCAAAATCAAACATATATGTTCAACATCTTAATTTAAATGTCTTATCATCTCCAAGCACAATGCTATACTCACAGAATACAGGAGAGTAACACTGAAGTACTGGATAATGCTGTACAATGCCATAAATTTAAACACACAGAAGGAAGTTATTAAAGCAGCACGGCCTTCCCTGTGGAAAAAAATGAAATGTTGGCCTGTCAATAAAAGCATTTTAAACTCTTCCGAGCCATGATTATAATCTTGACAGATGAACCCCAACATTCAACAGCTATAACAAAGTACCTGTCCACCAAAAGAACTAAGTCCAAATAGAGCTGGAACAAATGAGGAGCAGCGATCAATCTGTTACTACACTGCAGCTCAAATGTGTCAACATACCATTAAAACAAAGTCACATTACTTTTTATAATCATTTTCATTCTGTAATATTAGAGCAAGATACAAAGAGGTGAGAAAAATTTTAACTTGTACTACCTGATAAGGTTTGGCACACAAGAAATACTAGGAGTTTTAGAGGTAAAGGGAGATGCCACTGAAGCCTCTAGTTCTGATAAAGAAATGCCTCCATGTGCCCTCTTCAAAGCCTAGTAATTTAAAGAAAACTGGTTAAGTTTTGTGATTATAATTTAGACTAGAGTAAAAGGTATAAAAGTAAATAACAAAAACTATACTTACACCACAATCATTTGCACCGTCACCACACATTCCAACAAAGTAACTAAGAAACAAAATAATTTTAAGATCTTAATTAATTTTTTAAAGAAACCACACAACATTTAACTTATTAAAAGATTTTTCCAGTAGGGTACTATGAAGAACTAATAGACCAAAATTACTTCAGGGGAACTAATGAATCTTTTTATTACAAAGACTACAGACATGCTGCTTTGCAAATAGCATACCAGACTGCAAGTAAAATGACCTGTGTTATTGTTCTATCAAAATACGGGCCAATAATTTTGGTATCTCAATTTCCTCATCTTTAGAACAAAGGGCTTGTGCCCATACATACTTCAGAATAGCTACTTACAAAGTTATAGTTACAAAATTATAGGTAAAGATTTTTCCGTTAAAGGCCTGAAAACTACCTGTTTACTAAAACTAGTCACCTGTATCAAGACAGAGCACCAGAATGAATGAACCCTGGTGTAAACCACCATGCCAAGCTACTTTTTAATTTTTTTTTTTCAGTTTTTGTAGAGATAGGGTCTTGCTATGCTGCCCAACCTGGTCTCAAACAGCCAGACTCAAATGATTCTCCTGTATCAGTCTCCCAAAGTGCTAGGATTATAGGTGTGAGCCACTGCATAAAATATGGATTTTGTATTTTAGCTAAATAAACAAAAATGAGCCTCTTTAAAGAGCAATTTAATGTTCTCACCTGTCCTATAGATACGAAGTATCACTTACTTTTTGGGAACTGAAAATGAAAATATAATTGATCAAAAAAAAAATTCCACCAATACATACTCAACATTTTGTAATGCTTCTACCAACTGGGTCTTCTGATCAGGTGCCATACGAGCAAACACAGTGCCATGCAACATCAACTGGAAAAAACATGAATTTGTTAAAAATGCAATTCATAATATATTCGTGTGAACATACACGTAAACCTCAAATACTTACCTTAGGAACAAGGTCTTGAAAATGCTCTAGTATCACTGAAAACGACTTTCCATTCATTGCAAAATGATAACGAGTCACCTGAAGATCCTCTAAGCTATCATGGACCAATTTTATGGGAATAGCCTATGTATGAGATAACCAGAACAATATTTAAGCAGTCAAACCATGTAACAAGAGTCTATTTTAAATATATTTGTTTTAAAACTGAATTCTTTCATTTGATATTTTATACAATACACTGAACATTGAATGTTTATTTAAAATAAAAGAAAATTCAATTTTAAGGTTATGCACAATGTTTATTAAAATAAATGAAAGGCCAAGTGTGGTGGCTCACACCTATAATCTTAGCACTTTGAGAGGCCAAGGTGAGAAGATTGCCTGAGCTCACGAGTTCGAGACCAGCCTGGGCAACTTGGCGAGACATCATTTCTATAATAAATCAAAAAATTAGCTGGGCATGGTGGTACATGCCTGAAGTTCCAATTACTTGGAAGGCTGAGGTGGAAGGATCACTTGAGCCTAGTAGGTGGAGGCTGCAGTGGACATGAGCAGTGTGCTACTGCACTGCACTCCAGCCTGTGCTACAGATTGAGACTCTGACTCAAAATAAAGTAAATAAAATAAAATTTAGAGCTGGGCATGGTGGCTCATGCCTGTAATCCCAAGGCTTTGAGGCTAGGAGTTCAAAACCAGCCTAGACAACACAGTGAGTTCCCATATCTACAAAAATAAAAATAAAAAAAATTAGCTGAGCATGGTGGTACATATCCAGAACAATTCAGGTAACTGAGAGAGTAGGATTGCCTAAGTTCAGGAGTTCAAGGCTGCAGTGAGCTATGATTGTGCCATTTGTACCACAGCCTAAGAGAAAGAACAAGACCCTATTTCGTTTTTTAAAAATTCATTATTTTTTTTTTAAAAAGAAAGAAAACTTAAAGATTAAATATCAGCTCCAATTTGAATGATTCATGAACTACTACAGACCTGCATCATTTATCAGTAATCACTTGAAAAATAGGACAAATGTTTTAGATTTTTATACTTTAAATGTAAGGTTCTCACTTTTGGCAGAATATCAAAATTTAAACATAAAGATTCCGCGGTCTGCCCGGCTCGGTGGCTCAGCCTATAATCCCGCGCTTTGGGAGGCTGAGGTGAGTTGATTGCCTGAGCCCATGTGTTCGAGACCCACCTGGGCAACTTGGCGAGACCTCATCTCTACAATAAATTTAAAAATCAGCTGGGCGTGGTAGCGCGTGCCTGTAATTCTGGCTACTCAGAAGGCTGAGGTGGAAGGATCACTGGAGCCCAGCAGGTCGAGGCTGCAGTGGCCGGGAGCAGCCACGGCACTCCAGTCTGAGCAACAGAGTGAGATTCCAACTCAAAAAAGAAAAAAAAAAAAGATTCCGCAGTCCATAAATTTAAACACACAGAAAGAAGTTATTAAAACTCATAATCATTGAAAAATAGCCCAGAATTTGGATTTGATTTAACTTGTGTTTGTGCTTGTGCTTGTGTGTGCATGTGTGTGTATGCTTGAGTTGAGGTCTCACTCTGTAACCCAGATGAAGAGTGTAGTGGCACGATCTCAGCTCACAGCAGCTTCTATCTCTTGGGCTCCAGCAATCCTCCCTTCTCAGCCTCCTAAGTAACTGGGACCACACACCACGCCTAGCTAACTTTTTGACTTTTTTAGGGACAAGGTCTTGCTATGTTGCCCAGGCAGGTCTCAAACTCCTGGGCTCAAGTGATCCTCCCACCTCAGTCTCACAAAGTGCTGGGAACACAGGAGTGAGTCACTATACCCAGCCTTATTGTGTTTTAATGCATGACTTTTTAATTTTTTAAGACTAAATTCAAATAAGTAAACTTCAAAAGGGAAAATTACTCTTGATATTACCTCCGAGTCAATCGCTGATGAGTTACTGCACTGTGTTAGGGAGTCTGCATAATGCCAATTTATCTTGGCAACCTTCCCATCCTTTGGAGGCAATGCTTCAGCAATAATAACTTTATCCTGAGGTAGAATCATTCCACAGTCTCTGGCCACAGAGACAGCAGTCAACATGTTGTCACCTAATTTTTATAATATTTTTAATGCATTAAAATTAAAAAAGAAACATGAATGTACCAAACAAGTCCTTACTGAGAATTTACAACAGTCTCCACACAGGATGACCAGGGCAAGCAGAATCTAAGATAACATACAGTACTTATCTTAGAATCTTAAAATAACAAAACCAGTGCATACTTATCAAAGGAAGCCTCAAATAATGCACACATGTGTATACTAAATAAAACGTTCTCACCCACAATTTTTAAAGTCAAATACAATTCCCAATCTTTTCTAGTCATGCACTATTTGTACCCACACAATACCTGGCACAGCACTACATAACAAAGTAGGTACTTGGATATTTGCTGAAGTAACACAGGCTTGAGTGACTGATGATTTGTGCAAGAACACTACCACCTTATCATAGAAAAGGATGAATCATAAAAGCAAGACTACACAAAACCAAAAGTTTAGAAAGGCAGTAAGAATAGATGTAATGAGAAGCAAAGGAGACAAGTTCTCAGTCATGAGAGAAAAACAGCTCAAGGGAGCAAGGACAGGATGTTAGAGGAGAAGCAAGCAAAGTTTTGTGGACTGCCCTGCTTTCAGAAATGAAGGGCAAGATATTTCCTTTCCCAATTCCTAGACACTATTTCCAAGAGTGTCTTCCTGCAACGCTCAGAACACAAAGCCGTATTCTGACAAAGAAAGAGAAGGAAGACATACAGGTGAAAAGTGCCTTGAAAGAGAAGACATTAGAACTAAGAACTGATCAACTGCTAATAGATTTAGTTATATGGAGCGACATGGTAAAAGGATGCTGTTAGGAGGATCTCAGAGTCTAAAACCTAAAATGTATACAGGCTTTTTCTGTATAAGTCTTATTGAACACATAAATGCCATAAAGTGAATCTTGAATCTGATTAATTGCTAAGAAAAAACAAAAAAAAACAGCTGTCACAATTTCACACAGCTAAGGAACAGTAGTAATCAACAGTTAGTAACACCAGGAGAATTATTTGAATACACTAGTCAAAAAACCAAAAACACTCTAAAAAAATAGGCCTTTTCATTATTCAAGCAAGAATAAATATCATACATATAAAAAATTAATTTTAACAAGTCTCTACTAATCATTTTCTATGCAAATGGAAGTTCTAAAAGTTGTAGAGAATCCCAAAATGAATAAAACATACAACTCTCAAGAATCCTATAGTCTAGTAGGGCAAGCAAATCTATAAATAACAAAGATACAATAAGTGATATAAGAAATATATGAATAAAAAGATGATAGCAGCCAGACGTGATGGATCATGCCTGTAATCCCAGCATTTTGGGAGGTGGAGATGAGAGGATTGCCTGAACTCAGGGGTTCAAGACCAGCCTGAGCTACGTGGTAAGACCTCATCTTTACGATAAATAAAAAAATTGCCAAGCATGATGGTGCATGCCTTCAGTTCCAGTTACTTGTAAGGCTGAGGCAGAAGGATCGTCTGAGCCCAGCAGATCAAGGCTGTAGTAGCTGTGAGCATGTCACTGCACTCCAGCCTGGGTGACAGAGTAAGACTATAAATCAAAAACAAAAAACGCTGAGCGCAATGGCTCACACCTATAATCCCAGCACTTTGGAGGCTGAGGTGAGAGGACTGCCTGAGTCCATGGGTTCAACACCAGCCTGGGCAACTTGATGAGACCTAATCTCTATAATAAATCAAAAAATTAGCTAGGCATAGTGGCACGAGCCTGCAGTTCCAGCTACTTGGAAGTCTGAGGTGAAAGGATCACCTGAGCCCAGCAGGTTGAGGCTGTAGTGGCCACAAGCACGCCACTACACTCCAGCCTAGGCAACAGAGTAAGTCTCCAACTCAAAAAAAAACAAAAAAAGAGAGATGACAAAAAGTATGTAATTTTTTTGTAGTGTACACTCTTTATTATTTCCCATACTTTCTATAAATAGAATTTGCTAGGCTTCCAAAACAATATTGCAAAGTTATATATCATAATTTAATAAAATATTCAGAACTAAAATAGAGCAAAGGTTGGAGCTACTATATCATATGCTGTTATAACTAATTATCATTCCTCAATATTATATAACTTGAACTCTAGATTCACATTCAATTTCTTTTTCTCTAAAAAAGTCTGACCTGTGACCATGACAGTGCGAATATTGGCTTTATGCAAATCTTCAAGTACTGCAGGGGTTTCTTGCTTTAATTTGTTCTGCATTATAATTAATCCCATAAAATCCATGTTGTTTTCAATGGCATCTCTGCAGAAAAAGAAGTTTTAATATATGAGGGCTTAGTCAAGAGAGTCAATAGATATTGTTTCCTTTATGATGATAAAGCAATTTAAAATATCTATAAATTAAAACATCTTATATTCTGAATAAATCATGTGTGTGGTCAAGAGTTCAATATCTCAAAAAAGTTTAAATTGGTGGCTCATGCCTCTAATCGAGAACTTTGGGACGTCAAGTTTGAGAGAATTGCCTGAGCCCACGGGATAGAGACCAACCTAGGCAACTTGGAGAGACTTCATCTCTACAATAAATCAAAATATTAGCCAGGCATGGTGGTGTGTGCCTTCCAGCTACTTGGAAGACTGAGGTAGAAGGACGCCCTGAGCTCAGCCACTGCACTCCAGCCTGAGTGACAGAGTAAGATGCCAACTCAAAAAAAAAAAAAATTAGCTAAGTAAAGTGTCACATGTCTGTGACACTTTGGAAGGCTGAAGCAGAAGGATCACCAGAGCCTAGCAAGTCGCAGATGTGGTGGCCATGAGTGTGCCACTGCACTCCAGCCTGGACAACAGGTGAGACTCTGACCCAAAAAAACACAGTTTAAATCAGGAAAAGCAATTCTCAAGAAATATATTTTTTAAATTAAATTTTCTCTTTTGAAATATAAAATATGATTATTTGGAAATGTATCTTCGTAAACCACTAAACAATTCCAGTACTAAGGAAAATTCATCTTGTATCCCATCCAAAAATTTATGAGCATAAATCTATTCTTCTTTTTTTTTTTTGAGTTGGAGTCTCAGACTGGAGTGCAGTGGCCGCTCCTGGCCACTGCAGCCTTGACCTGCTGGGCTCCGGCGATCCTTCCGCCTCAGCCTTCCAAGTAGCTGGAATTACAGGCATGCGCTACCACGCCCGGCTAATTTTTTGATTTATTGTATAGAAGAGGTCTCACCAATTTGCCCAGGCGGGTCTCGAACATGCGGGCTCAGGCAATCCACTCACCTCAGCCTACCAAGGCGCAGGATTACAGGCTAGTCACTGAGCCCAGCTAAATCTATTCTTTATTGTTCCCTTACAGCATACCCTAATTTAAATGTTAAGAGGAAAAAACTATACCAAAAGCACATTTATTAGTTACAGTGGATTCATTATCAAGTATTTAATCGATTCTGTTAAACACTCTTTTTGTTTTTTTGTTTTTGTTTTCCTGGAGTTATTTTCCACTTGGTGCAGAAAGACAGTTAGTTATCAGGAAAGCTCCCATGTGCTGGGCAGTGGAAAGCAGTGCTCTCACTTCCTTTTTGGTGTTTGTTGTGCTGACAGAAAATAACCCAAGTGCTTGTCTGCAGGCTGCAGCTGCCTAACTTGCGGGGAGGGACCAGGATGGGAGGGGAAAGGGGAGGGGTGGGGAGGGGGTAAACAACTCTTGATCCTAGAAATGTGATATAAGAACCATTAACAGTCCAAAAATGAGTTCTAACTGGGACCCAGAAATGAGAATGAATATTTGAAAATAATAATAATAATCAATATGTTTATCAAGTAGCTATTCTTCAAATAACTGAGTATCTACAATGCACCAAGCACTATGCTAGTCACAGGGAGGTCAAAAACAAAAAGGTATAATCTCTATTCTTAAAACACTTTGGTGGGGAAACAAACATGCAACCAAAGAGATACAGACAAAAATAACCAAAACACTACAACAGACATGAAACACTACAACAGACATGAAGTCTGTTTGATGACAGTCACATTTTTTAAATATCCCAAGCTAAAAAAACTATATCATAGAAATGTCTTTTTTCAATGAGGAGGGGGGCTTTAGGTCAGGAACTAGAATTTCAGACTAAGCAATAAACAAGTAAAGTTTCAAACAAAAAAATCAACAACAGTTGCTTGAAGTATATACCTATGAAACCTAAATATCTTTGAAATATATAACTTATAACAATAGGTAGAATATTAAAGAATATTTGAGAAAATCAATATAGATGTTACTGCTGATGGTAAAAGGAGAAAAAAGCCTTGAAACCTGAAATTGCATCTCAAAGCACAAAGTTGTACCAGTGTGAAACTACTGTGTTAAAAGCACAAAGCAACACCAGGTGCATTGGTCCTAGCACTTTGATAGGCACAGGCAGGAGGACTGCCTGAGCCCAGAGGTTTGAGACCAGCCTGGGGAACTTGGAGAGACCTCGTCTCTATAATAAATTTAAAAAATTAGGCGTGGTACTGCCTGTGGTTCCAGCTAACTGGAAGGCTGAGGGGGAAGGATCACCTGAGCCCAGGAGATTGAGGTTATGGTGGCTGTAAGCCTATCACTGCATTTCAGCCAGGGTGACAGTGCAACTCCGACTCAAAAAAAACCAAAAAAAACCCCCACAAAGTCATTTTTCTGTAAGGTGCTAGTTTCTGGCTTATGCTGGTCTCCTGACTGTCCCATAAATGATATAGGTCATGGAAATCTTGTTAACAAATACTCCAATATTCAAGATACAAAGGTTTAAGCTACTAAAAAAATGCTAAAGCCTGTAGAATGGAAACAGAGAAGGTCTAGGTTGACGGATGAAGAGAGAAGAGAGAAAGAGAAGGGTAAGGAGGAATAGCATATTCTTAGCAAAAAGAACAGTCCATCCAATGGCATGGAAGGATGTCTGAGTATGACAGACTCGGGAACTATAGACAATTCGATAATTAGTCTGTAAGAAGAAAAAACAGCAAAAGTAAAACTACAAAGTGAGAAGAGACTAACATGCCTATTGTAAGAATTATGATACAATGTTATACAACAGTGCCTCCTAGTCATGCATATGTATCAGATCACTTGGGTAGAGATTTTGTTGTTTTTGTTTAAAAAAAAAAACACCAAAAACTCATGTTTAGACCTCCTCTCACAAATAGACCCTAAACAGACAGAATTAGCAGGACAGCCAACAGATCTTCCTTTCTGCTTATAAAATGCTAGGTACACCATGAAATATTCCTAAACAAAAATGCTATGTTCAAAGGGCAGACTGATCAGGTGTGGTGGCGCACACCTTTAGTCCCAGCTACTCAGGAGGCTGAGGCAGAAGACGGCCTGAGCAGAGAAGGTCAAAGCTGCTGTAAGTTGTGATTGTGCCACTGCACTCCAACCAGGGCAACAGAAATCCTGACTCAACAAAAAAAAGGGGGGAGGGCGCGGGGGGGCAGGTAGGTCCTTAAGAGTTGTAGTAAAAGTGACAATCCTTGAATGTAAAACCAGTATTTATACATAAAAGGAAATATGACACTGGTAATGCCAGTTAGCTAGCAGGGGGGATGGGACAGAGGTAGGGTGGAAGTAGAATGGTTACTGTGGCTCTAACCAAATTAGTATTTGGATATAATTTCTAGGGGGAAAGCGAGAAAACCATTTGGAGAAAATAAACTTTTATACAATTGTTTACTATTCCTAGAATACACTTGACACAAAGTAGACACAAGATAAATATTTAACAAATGAACTGAAAGTTGTTCCAAAGAATTCTAAGGAAAAACATATAATGTTACAACAAAGTAAGCAAAATTACACAGTCAATATAGAATGAAAGGAAATTAGACAATAATAAAAATGTAATTTTACATTAGTCACCCAAAACAATATTGCAATATGTATATTTACATACTCAGTATGTATTTAATACCCAACTACATGTAAATTTCTGCACAAGAAGTATATAAGCATAAATGAAGCATCAATGGAGAAACTGTAGGAAAGCCATTCATCAATCCTACCTGCTAATATTCTGTACTTTATGCCATGTCAATTTTGACTCCAATTTTCTGTGTGCAAGAGCAATCACACGAAAGCCTTGTTTAGTGAAATCTTCCAAAACCTTTTCAAAATCAACAGGAACTTTATAAAAGAGAAAGTAAATTTTGCTGTTAGAACTGCTAACATAAGCTTACACAAATACCAGAATTTTACCCAAAGCATAGCTGTTTCCTTACCAGTTTCAGGTTTACAAAGACTGGCAATCACCTCCGGTGCTCCTTTCATGTAGGCATCCATCTTCTTATCTCCTAGCACTCTTGCAACCACACTCATACGTTGCAAAGCAGAGGAAAATGGAAACTGGCGAACAATTCCTATCTCATAAATAGCCTATATAATTTCAAAAGATGCACAGAGCATTTATTATCCTTTAAGAATAAAGACAAATATATTTAGGTAACAAGTAAAACATTTTCCACTTACTGGAAGTTCAAACAGCTCCTAAAAACAAAACACAACAAAAAGAAATAGTACAGATTAAGTGAATCAACACAGTCAAGTTAGAAAAAAGTTACTAAGCATCCACAACACATTATTTTGAAAAGGGCAAGGAACTGTATTTCTAAGTCAGGATTCAAGATTCCTTCTATATTTCTTCTCATTTTAAAAAAGCATGTTCTTAAATATTTTCAAATATTCTAATACCCTTAAAATATCGACATATCAAGTACTAAAATAAACTCAGGGGAACAAATTAAAAACTCATCTAAAAATAAAAGCCCCTCATATATTCTTTTTATTAAACTCTAGGAATACAGATGTAATTTAAGAGGATCAACAACCATGTATATAAATCACAAGGCATTAAGCTGTTCAGTAAATATGAAAGAAAAATAATGGTACTAAATTAAATCTCAAAAATTTTACACAGAATGCCTGCAACACCAAAGGTGCATTTTCTGATAAATGCAATTCAAATATTCCTAACTGAATAAAAAAAAAAAAATAGAACATTTGATTTTCTCTTTGAACACTTCAAAATGTGAATAAAATGAAAGTAAGCACAACAGTATTATCCAGTTTTAAGTGATTTCGCACCATTTCTTGGTTTCCTGCAGGGGTAGACTCAGGAAGCAGTTGTTTGGGAGGACGAACCACTGTGGGCATGATTCGATTATGAAGTGCTGTTTCTTCCTCAGTTGCTTCTTCCAGAATCTGAAAGAAAATATTCAATGTATTGCTTCATAAACTTGAATTCTCTGGTTCTATTTTTTTGCTTATTTATTTTTTAAAAGACAGGATTTGATCTGTTGCCCAGGTTGGAGTATAGCGGCATGATCAAAGTTCACTGCAGTCTCCAACTCCTAGGCTCAAGCTATCCTTCTGCCTCAGTCTCCGAAGCATTAACAGCTGGGATTAATAGGCACGTGCCACTTGGTCAATTTTCAAAAATTTTTTTTTTTTTTTGGCAGTAATGATGTCTTGCTAGGTTGCCTAGGCTGGTCTCAAACTCCTGGCCTCAGGTGCTGGGATTACAGGTGTGGCCCACCATGCTCAACCACTGATTCCATTTTAAAATGAAACATTATGAGCTGGAAATGGTGGCTCACACCTGTAATCCCAGCACTTTGGGAGGTGAGAAGATTGCCTGAGCCCAGGGGTTAGAGACCAACAACCTGGGCAACTTAGTGAGACCTCATCTCTACAATAAATCAAGAAAAATTAGCCGGGTGTGGTGGTGCACGTCTGTAGTTCCAGTTACTTGGAAGGCTGAGGCCAAGGATCACCTCACCTGAGCCCAGCAGGTCAAGGCTGTGATGGCTGTGAGCATGTCACTGCACTCCAGCCTGGGTGAGAGAGTGAGATTCCAACTCAAAAAACAAAAAGAAACATTATGGCCATTTTCAGTAATTTTTTAAAAAATTTCTATTCAAGAAATAAATGAACACTACTAGATCACTAAAAGTATAAACAAAGCTGGCTAGCTAGATATCTAGCAACCCATGAAAAGAGGGAAGACAGATATTAGAAGCAGAATAAAGAAATATAGACAAACTTCTCTGATTTTACCTCCTAAAACAGATGAGGAGTTTAGAAACTTGCTCTGCAAGTTTTTCTGCTCTGCAAAAAAAACAGGTTCTTAGAGTTCCAAAAATTTTCATTCTCATCCAGGGACTGCTGTGTGCTAACAGGAAAGGATTCAAAAGTATACAGAGTTCAGATATGGTTTGTAGAACCACTGGTTCGACAATAGGCTGAGGTACAAAATATGAGTTTAGAGTTTCGGCCTGAAATTTTCAGTTTTGCTACTACAATCCTGATCCCCTGAAATTTACCTTAAAAGACATTTTTTGGCAAAAGAATTAAAAAAAAAACCTGTATTAAACACACATATGAGAAACAATAAACTAATGTGACACTACAACTAGAGAGATCAATGAGAAAATGATGGAATGGGAAGTGTAAACAATTAGCCAATTTTATACAATTCTAAGACACCTTTTTCATATTTTATACCATATGACATCAATAACATCAAGCGCAATTGTGACTAGTTATATGAAACTATTTCATTGCTATGTAAGATCTGGTAAGACTAAGCATCAAAGTATCTCAGGGCCAACAAAATATGCCATTATTCAAATTTTCTTATTTAACCAGTTTTTTCAAGATCCACAAACAATGAACACTAAATCTGCTGACAAACTTATTTAGTGGAGAAAAGTTTACAGAACAAGGATAAAACAGCCAATTTTGTTCTTCTCTCTATAAATGAAGCAAGGTGTCCTTTTAGAAATTAAATTTCAAGAGTATTCATTGCAGGTTTTCAGTAGATGGCAGATGGAGCACTTATCCAGTCACCCACCTCACTCCCCTTTCAAAATGTTAACGAAAGAAAGAAGAGGGGGAAAGTAAACAGAAAGCAAAGGAGAGGGAACTTCAAATATGGAGAGATAAAGGGGCAAATTGAAAAATACCGTGATATAACTGGGAAAGAAGAAGTAGCCTAGAATAAATAATAAAAGGGTATCAGAAGAGGCAGAAACAAGTCTTATCAGCCAGAATAGAGGAGCTAAACAAAACAAGACTAACTCTGCAACTATTCCACTTTTCCTTTAAAACTAAAGAACACCGTTAATGAAACCCCACCCTTGATATATTAGCAAGTCCACCCCAGGAGAGACAACTGCCAGGAAAGCATATTAACATATATATGGAACTCAAAAGCATGAAGGAGAGACACCAAGCACAGGAAAAAAAAAAGGAAAATCTGATTGCAGATTCAGAAGCCAGAAGAGAACTCTTAAAAACTGTCACTGCATCTATAAATGAACTGAATGTTGTAAAACGGTAACAACCAGAAAACAAAAGCAAGCACTTAAGAAACTGAAATTACCAACGGCAAAAAGAGAAATAAAATTTAAAAAAATCAGAGCCGGGCATGGTAGCACATGTCTATAGTTCCAGCTACTTGGAAGGCTGATGCGGAAGGATGGCCTAGCCCAGTAGGTCGAGGATGCAGTGGCTGTGAGCGTGAGCATGCCACTGCACTCCAGCCTAGGCGACAGAGTGAGCCTCAAAAAAAAAAAAAAAAAAAGATCATCTTTCTAACTTCTGGTCTATGGCCCCAAGTTGATAATCCCTGATTTATCTAAAAAACATAAAGCAGGGGCCTGAGTTGCTCAGCCTCTATTAAAGGTGTTTAAAAGAATTAATTTAACTAAAACAGATACCCTTTACACAATCTTAGATATTTATCCAGTTATCTATCTGTAGAAATTACAGAGTACCTTTTGTGGTACAAGATAAACAGAAAATGAAAACAATCCTTTCATGGGGTAATTTAATTCTGCTGTTATTTCCCTAAAGTTATTTGTACTTTAAAATATTAAACTTACCCATCCAATGGCTTCAAACATTTTCAAATCAAGTGGGTCACCAGAAAGCACTCCTTCAATTTTTGTAAGTGAATGGCAAGTAGCCATACATGCAACAAACTGGGACTTGACCAACATCTCATTGCAAACATTTTCTTCTGGTAAAAGAAATCTAAGCAAAAAATATACTGAGTTAGTTTCATAAATTCTGAGAGTCAAGGCAATATTCTAAAAGGCCTTTTCAGGTTTTGTAAAAAATAAAAATAAAAAGTGCCAGAAATACAGGGAACAGAAAAGCAGAGGGTTGCAATCTTGAACGGATGCTATGACTGCAGGGGAAGGAGACGATTTCAGTACTCTAAGAACTTGGGGTTTAACAGTCACAAAGAACAGAAGACAAAGCCCCAGCCACATGACCAATCCCTTCCTTCTGACCCAAGAAAGCCAGGGCTCTTGAAAAGCCCTTGGGAAAAATGCAAACTAGAAAAATGTATCCACAGACCCAAAAGCATAACTAAGAATAAGCTTGTCTCTTTTCCCTCACCCATAGTTAAAAAATATCTAATATCTGCATATATTTACTATGCACTGAGGATTATTTTCAGAGCTTTACATATCCTGACCCATTATCCTCACACCATAGGAAGGTGTTTTATTACCCCCATGAGAAAACTGAAGCATGTAGCTAAAGTAAATTGTCCAAGGTTACACAGCCCATAAATAGCACAGCAAGGATTGAAACACAGAAATCTGGTTTCAAGGCCTAACCTCTAAACCAGGCACAACAACACAGAATGGGTTTTAGGTCTAAATATATTTTACTGCCTGGCCCAGAAACGATCAAATTATGAGAGTAGCATCAAGCTTATCTGGCACTATTGATACCACTGGGGCTCTTGACCAAGCAAAGTCAAAATTTCTCTAGAAGGGAGCTCCCACAACACAGCCACAAAGAAGTCTCAAAGAAAAATCCCAATGTGAGTCCATAATTTAAAGATGCACTAGGGGACAATTCACCAGGGGAGTCAACAGACACAGCAAAGACAGATCCCATAAATTTGAGATCACAGAATGTCAATCTGAAATAATACAAAAAGGGTATTTTAAAATTAGACCCCAAAAAAGAGCAAGACACTGTAGACAAGGGAGTAAGGGCAGGGCAGATTTGTAAAGAAAAAAGTAAATTTTCTTGTTTAACACATGATTAGGATTCTCAAAAGGAGAGGGGGAAAAAAGCATGGGAAAAGATTATAATGGAAGAAAAAGAGGTTGAAAATTTTCCAGAACATATGAAAAACATAAATCCTTGGGTTCAAGAAGCAAAATGAGTCCAGTATAAACAAAAAGATCATAGTAAAACTGCAAAAAACCAAGTATAAAGAAATAGTTTTAAAACAACCAGATTAAAAAAGGTTACTAAAAAGACTAATATTTATTAACAGCAATAACAAAAGGTGGTAGAAGAAATGGAATAAAACACCTTTAAAATACTGAGAGAACATAACTAAAAATGAAGATATCTTCACAGTTATACCATCACTCAAGAATGGTAGTAAGGCCGGATGTGGTGGCTCGCGCCTATAATCCAAGCACTTTAAGAGGCAGAGGTGAGAAGACTGCCTGGGCCCAGGGGTTCGAGACCAGCCTGGGCAACTTGGTGAGACTTCATCTCTACAATAAATTTAAAAAATTAGTTGGGCATGGTGGCGTGTGTCTATAGTTCCAGCTACTCGGAAGGCTGAGATGGAAGAATTGCCAGAGCCCAGCAAGTAGAGGCTGTGGTGGCCATGAGCGTGTCACTGCACTCCAGCCTGGGTGACAGAATGAGACTCTGACTCAAAAAAAATTTTTTAAAAGATATTTGCATACATAGGCAAATCTAAGTAAGCATGCAGACTGTGACAAAATCATAATTATAAAGTTATTATGCATCAAATGCATATAAAGAAGGGGAATAATCAAACACATTCTACAGTGCATACTTTTTTGGAGTTTAGAAGGCAGAATTAACACCCATGAACTTTAGACGATAGCAATACTTATCACTTAAGGACAAGTAGCAAAAGTGTAGAATGTATAAATTGAAAAATGAGAGAGAGAAATATAAGCGGAGTAAAAAAAGGTGTGTGTAAATTGGGGGAAGGAATGGCAGAAAGAATTTCAAATATACCCGAATAACTGTGAACATATGGTACAGAAAGTCTGAAAAGTAAACAGGTGCAAAAGATATAGTAGAAAACCACTAAGCCAAAGAAAGCTGGTATGCACTAGGCGCAGTGGTTCATGCCTGTAATCCCAGCACGTTGGCAGGCTGAAGCGAGAGGGCTACCTAAGCCCAGGAGTTCGAGACCAGCCTGGGAACTTGGTGAGACCTCGTCTCTATACTAAATCCAGAAAAAAATCAGCAAGGCGTGGTGGCGCATGCCTAAAGTTTCAGCTACTTGGAAGGCTGAGGCAGATTGCCTGAGCCCAGCATACCGAGACTGTGGTGGCCGTGAGCATGCCACTCCACTTCAGCTAAGGTGACACAGTAAGACTCCACCTCAAAAAAAGAAAGCTAGTGCAAAGCTATATAAACATCAGATAAAATAGAATGGAGGATAATGGCCACATGCGTTTTTAGGGATAAAAAAGGCCACAATACATATTTAATTTACATTAGAAAATTAGAAATTTATATTAACCAAGCAATACTGTCTCTAAAACTATATAAACAAAAATCTGGCAGATTTTTGAAGGGGGAAAAATGATATAACCACAACTACTGTATAGCAGCAAAATTTCTGAGCTTCAAAAGCAACAAAAATAAAGAGATGAGTCAGAGACTGGTAGAAAATATATGCAATACATAATATTGAAAAAGATTACAGGGAGGCTGAGGTGAGTGGGGAAAAAAAAGAAAAAGATTACTACTCAGAAAATGCAAAGGAATAAGATAAAGACTTAACAATACGATGGAAAAATTAGGATATGAGCAGACAGTACAGAGAACACTAAATAAACCTCCAAAATGTGAAAAGATGCACAACTTTATAAGTAAGGAAAAGAATGAAAAGGAAGCCATTTTCATCTCATATCCATCTTTTTGGCAAAAATTATAAGTCTGACAACATTAAGTCTGGAAAGAATGTGGAGCAAAAATATCTTTATCCACTGAGGGAAAAGTATAAATAAGCATCACCAAATAAATAGTTCAAAAAAAAAGCAGCTAGAAGTGGTGGCTCATGCCTGTAATCCCAGCACTTTGGGAGGCAGAGGTGAGAGGACTGCCTGAACCCACAGTTCGAGACCAGCCTGGGCAACTTGGCAAGACCTCATCTCTACAATAAATCAAAAAATTAGCTGGGCATGGTGGTGCATGCCTGTAGTTCCAAATACTTTGAAGGTTACGATGGAAGGATTGCTTGAGCCCAGGAGGTCAAGGCTTCAGTGGCCATGAGTGTGTACTGCACTGGGTGACAGACACTCCAAATCAAAAAAAAAAAGCAATACCTAGCAAAGCTGAAGTTGTGTCCCTGCCACTTACACATATAGGATCCAGCTTACTGAACCCCAGTCATGTGCTCATAAAGAGTTGTGTGTAAAATTTTAATAGCACTATTTGTTAAACTGCAGAGAGAAGGAGGAACAAACAGAACTGTCCCTTAGTAGAAAAATATATGATTTGTTTAATCACATAATGGAATAAGACACAGAAGTTAAAATTAACAAATTACATTTGTACATATCAATATAGATAAATATTGAAAGCAATGTGAGGAGAGGAAAAAGGCAATTAAGATCTATGTACAGTATATTACTCATGTATATTTAAAATGTAACATATGCAAAACTTAAAAGGAAAAACTTGGCCAGGCTCGGTGGCTCAACCTGTAATCCCAGCACTTTGGGAGGCCGAGGCAAGTGGATTACCTGAGCCCGCGCGTTCGAGACCAGCCCAGGCAACTTGGTGAGACCTCATCTCTACGATAAAATAAAATTTAAAAATAGCTGGGCGTGGTAGTGCACATCTGTAGTTCTGGCTACTGGGAAGGTTGAGGCGGAAGGATTGCTGGAGCCCAGAAGGTCGACGCCGGAGTGGCCCTGAGTGTGCGTGCCACTGCACTCTAGCCTGCGCGAAGGAGTGAGACTCCCAACTCAAAAAAAACTTCAAAATGGTGGTAAGAATAAAGAAAGGAATAGTATGGGATTCAAGCAATTTCTATAACATTTTAATCTTTTAAAAGAGATCTGAAGCAAATATAGCAAAATAACTGTTTAATCTTGGCAGTAGATACAGTTTGTCTATCATATTACTTTCTATGTTTGAATGCTGCATGTTAACATATTTATTAAAAAGCAACTAATAATCTAACTAATATTTACCGTGTATTTTCCACTCGTTGAATCCCCCAAAGATCTAAACCATCTTCAGTAAGAGTTCCAGTCTAAAAAAAAGGGGGGCACACATGCACAAAGCATGACTAACGCTACAAAAAAAGAAACCTACAAAGCATTTAAACTATACTACGTATAACACAATGAAGTTCTATACAAAGTTAAAATAAATAGGCAAGATCTCCATACGCTGATAGAGAATGACTGCTAGGACACATGGTAAATGTAGAAAAGGGGATGCAGGGCAGTACTTACAGTATGGGTCATCAATGCAGTAGAGGGGACATATGTGTATAACTGTACGTTTATGCGCTTTTATTATTTAAAAACGAAAGGATGCACAAATCAGCATATCTATCAATCAATAAAGGAGGGAGGAATCAGGACATAGGGAGCTAACAGGAATAAGTTACATGATAACTGGGAAGGAATCAGTAAAAACCAGAATGCAAATGACTTGGTTTACTCAACAAAATTATTGGGGATGAGGAGGAAGTAAAGGCCAACTGTTAGATAACTGTAACCAATGCAATCCCTATTTGGACTTTAATTTAAAAATCAAAAGGTAAAAATTTGAGATAAGCAGGGAAATTTGAACTAAGTATGAGATAAAACCAAAGAATTGTTCATTGTACTAAGTGTGATATTGTGGTTCTATATATTTTTTTGAACACCTTATCTTCCAAAGACACACATGAGGTAGTAGGGGTGAAATAATATCTGATGCTGCCTCCTTCAAAATGAGGGGATAAATGAAGTAAAATTGACAAAACACTAATATCTGTTAAAGTTGAGTAATGAGTAAATAAGGACTTATTATATATGCACTTTTCTCCACTTCTGTGTCTGCTCAAAAATTGTATTAATAAAGTTTCCAAAAAAGACAAGCATAGGTCAAGGCTGCAGTGGCCACGAGCGTGCCACTGCACTCCAGTGTGGGCGACAGAGTGAGATTCCAACTCAAAAATAAAAAAAAAAGACAAGCATAAGAAAAATTGAAGAGAAATATAAAATAGTCATAGATGTATGTCACTTATTATTCTTTTTCTGTAATAATGAAATGCATAAAAGTCAAATTCTTATTCTACCCATTACCCAGAAAAGCATGATAAAAGGTGTTCTGGTCAAGGATTAATTTTTAAAAACATTAATTCTAACTCAGGAAAGGAGAAAAGTTTGTAAGGGAAAAGTGTATTTCACACAGGTACACAACTTGTCATTTTCACATAAAAACATAAAATCTGTGACTTTCACAATTTTAAACTATATGGGGTATCAAAAAAATGTACATACATTTTAAGTATGTATTCACAAATATGTATACATTTGTGGCACCCCGTATTTTATAAAACCATACAGTAAACACTAAACACATTAACAGCAATAAACTCACAGTAACTATATATGTATTAAGCCTATTCTGGTAAATAAGAATTATTATCTAAAAACATTAGAGATCACATAGTCTTTACTTCCACGACTGCTATAAGACATGATTCTGGATATGAGCAATTGGTTAATTGCCGATTTGAGCAAATAAGCAATATCCAAAGTATTAAAAATTGAGAAAACACAAAATACAGCAGGTCCTCCAACAATACCAATTTGTTCAACATCATTTCATTATAATTTTGATGAGAAAACAAATATCAACTCCCAGCTGGGGCCACTGTGTGTGTGGAGTTTGTGTACCCCCAATGTCTGCATGGGTTTGACTCTAGGTACTTCGGTTTCCTTCCACATCCTAATGGTGTGCATGTTAGGTGAACTGGCACTAAATGAATTCAGTCCAAGTGAGCGTGGATGTGTGAGAACGCCCTATAATAGAATGGCATACTGTCTAGGGTTTGCTCCTACCTTGTACCCCAAGCTGCCTGAATAGCCTCCAGTTACCCATGACTCTGAACTGGAATAACTGGATAGATAAATATCTTACTTGTTTTTATTAACCTTTCTCAAATGTATGCATAGCTCACATTTATTTCAATGATTAATATTAGAAGTGTTTTGGCTCTTTATTTAAAAGTTTGGTGAAGTTTTGTGACCAGAAGTATGCCATAAGAACTTAATTCTCATTTGTGCCAATTAACCCATAGCAAAATTTGATTCATTATACTTCATTTTGCTTAAAGCCACAGTTTTTCCAAGAAACTATCAATGATGTTAAGGGAAGACTTTAGGGTATACAAAAATGATGCATACACCAGATAAGCTGAGAAAGAGAAAACTTACAGGAATATTAAAAATTAGGCTGGGCACAGTGGCTGTAATAACAACACTTTAAGAGGCTGAGGTGAGAGGATTGCTTGAGCCCAGGAGTTTGAGATCAGCCTAGGCAACACAGCAAGACATTGCCCCTATTAAAATTTTTTAGCCAGGCATGATGGTGAGTGTCTGTAGTTCCAAATACTCAGGCAGTTGAGGCAGAAGGAATGCCTGAGCCCAGGAGGAATAAACTGTGATAAACTGTGATTGTGTCACTGCACTGCAACCTGAGTAGTACCTGATGAATTAAAAAAAAAAAAAAACTTGTGTGCAAACTGGTTGACAAAGAAAATGGAAAACATTAAATATTTAAAAGCTACAAAGTAGTGACCTTTGAGAAGGATTATAAAACTAAACCAACCTTATCAAAGCAAACAAGATTCAGCTGTCCACAGATATTTATCCTTTGGGGACTAATACAGAAAATACCAATTTTTTTCAGTCTTCTCTGAGCATACACAATACCAGCAGTCATTGCAGCAGGAAGTGCAGGTGGAACAGTAATTGTAATGATATCAAGAGACTCGATAATTATTACCCCAACTTCTACCTATAGTTAACACAAAAATAAATGTTAAGTCCCTAGCATTAAATATTTACTAACTTAATATGAACATTAGTGAATATCTATATGCCGTTTTCAACTTTATATATATGTATATATTTAGATACATCTATTAACCATTTATAATTTTTTCCCTTCAGCAATTCTGCAAAATAGAAAGCTTAATGGAATAACAGCTATTTTTAAAGGAAATGTCTTTCATTTTAATAGCCCTACATACTTCATACACAACACACTTCAAAGCAAGTTCCGCAAACTTTATCAAATACTGACTCATTCTATTAGCCTCATACTGTGCTGTGCTGTCCCTACAGGGTAGAAAAAAGGGGAAAAAAAAGGCTGAGGTCTCTTAGAGATACCTTCAATAGAGTAATCAAAAATCATTTCAATATTTAAAATAAAAAAATTAAAAGAGAAAAAGTCATTTTAATGCTGTACATTCTATCTCATAGGCAAAAGAAAATAAAGCCTTTGGGGAGCATACGGGTTTCCCCCCTTCATTTTTTTAAAGTCACAAAAGAGCAAATACAAGACCATCTAAACCAAATCCATCAAAAAGAATTGTCCTCTATAATGGAAATGTTCTCTGTCTGTGCTTTCTAATATAATACTACTAGTCCCATGACTTCTTTAACATTTAATTAGTTAAAATTGGCTGGGCTCGGTGGCTCAGCCTGTAATTCCAGCACTTTGGGAGGCCGAGGTGAGTGGACTGCCTCAGCCTGCGGGTTCAAGACCCGCCTGGGCAACTTGGCAAGATCTCATCTCTACAATAAATCAAAAAATTAGCCGGGCATGGTAGTGCGCGCCTGTAGTTCCAGCTACTTGGAAGGCTGAGGTGAAAGGATCACCGGATCCCAGCAGGTCGAGGCTGCAGTGGCCGGGAGCGGCCATTGCACTCCAGTCTGGGTGACAGAGTGAGACTCCAACTCAAAAAAAATTTAAAAAAAATTAAATTAGCAGCCGGGCTTGGTGGCTCAGCCTGTAATCCCGCACCTTTGGGAGGCTGAGGTGAGTGGACTGCCTGAGCCCATGGGTTCAAGACCCGCCTGGGCAACTTAGCGAGACCTCATCTCTACAATTAATCAAAAAATGAGCCAGGCGTGGTAGCGCACGCCTGTAGTTCCAGCTACTTGGAAGGCTGAGGCGAAGGATCGCAGGAGCCCAGCAGGTCGAGGCTGCGGTGGCTGAGAGCAGCCACTGCACTCCAGTCTGGGTGATAGAGTAAGACTCCAACTAAAAAAACAAACAAATAAACAAAAACAAAAAAAATTAAATTAGCATAAGTTGGGTTTGGTGGCTCACACCTGTAATCCCAGCACTTTGGGAGGCAGAGATGAGAGGAATGCCTGAGGCCAGAGGTTAGAGGCTAACCTGGGCAACTTAGCGAGACCTCATCTCAAATAAAAAAAATTAAATAAGCCTATAAGTTTAGTTCCTCAGTCTCACCAGTCACATTTCAAATCCTCAGTAGCCACAAATGATTAATAATTAAGGCTGAAACCCTATTAAAAGCCCCACGTACATACCTTATTTAAAATGCTATTGATAATAGCATAGATAAACCCAATGCCTGCCACTGCCACAAGACACAGAAGAAACAAGTAGGCATCTCTGTAGAGTTTAAAATCAGTAGGTTTGGGATACAATATGGAACGAACAAGCTGTCCTTTGGAAGTACTAAATCCTTTCAAAAAAAAAAAAAATGAAAGTAAGTTACTTTTATTTTTAGAAGAACATGAGAATTATTTCGCAAAACAGAATTTCTTTAAAAACATTTAGTAGGTATGCTAAAACATGCAAGAAGAGATTAATCGAAATGCTTTCTACCTGTTCTAACCACTATGGCTTTGACAAGTTCTCCGGTGTAGAAACGAGTCTGAATAACAGTTGTCCCACAAAACAAAGTGTGCCGTTTATGTGTTTCTGGATTATATAATTCATCTTCCATTCCTTTTACATCCACTGAGGGATTTGGTAAATTAGTCTTTGTTACTGGAACACTTTCTCCTGAAAAAACAAAAAAGTTCATTAATTAAAGGAAGGCTAGGCTCATTGGTTCAAGCCCGTAATTCTAGCATTTGGGGAGGACCAGGTGGAAGATTGCTTGAGTCAAGGAATTCAAGACCAGATGAGGCAACATAGCAAAACCTCATCTCTACAAAAAATTACACAGGTGTGGTGGTGCACGACTGTGGTCCCAAATACTCGGGAGGCTGAGATGGGAGGATTGCCTGAACCCAGGAAGTAGAAGCTATGGTGAGTCATGATCATGCCAGTGCACTCTAACCTGGGCAACAGAGTGAGACTCTGACTCAAAAAAACAAACAAGGCCGGGCTCAGTGGCTCAACCTGTAATCCTGTGCCTTGGGAGGCTGAGGTGAGTGGATTGTCTGAGCCCGTGGGTTCGAGACCCGCCTGGACAACTTGGTGAGACCTCATCTCTATTATAAATCAAAAAACTAGCCAGGTGTGGTAGCGCGCGCCTATAGTTCCAACTACTTGGAAGGCTGAGGTGGAAGGATCGCTGGAGCCCAGCAGGTCGAGGCTGCAGTGGCCAGGAGCGGCCACTGCACTCCAGTCTGGGCAACAGAGTGAGACTCCAACTCAAACAAAACAGAACAAACAAACAAATAAAAACTACCTCTAGATTGTGAATGTCCAAAGGAAAGTCATTTCAAAGTCTACTTCCCCCAGTTCAAGAAAAAATATAAAATCTTTATTTAGTCCCAGTTATTACAATTCAAATAGAGAATCAAATACTGTATATGCTGCATTCTCTGTAGCCAAAGACCTCATCTCGTATTCCCATACAAAAGCCACGTTCTAATGTCAAAAGAGTGAACAAAGGCAGGCCAAGAGATGTATCAACACCAGCAGAGTGATTTAATTGCACAGTTGAGTATAATACAATATGTGGTCTACTCAGAATTTTAAAATCTTCAATATCCATCACACTCATACATTCATGAATAACAATATAAATGATATAGCTAATTTTGAAAAAACTCAACCAGTGACTACTTAATCATAATATCATTATAAACAACGCATGTGATGTTTACTCATTTAGTTTACCTGTTAACATGCTTTCATTTACAATGCAGGTGCCATTAATAAGTACTGCATCACAAGGCATTATTGTTCCATTTAATGGGATGACCATGATATCTCCAGGGACGAGGTCAGTAGAAAAGATCTCTTCTATTTCTGAACATAAAGAAAAAAGTACAATGTAAACAGAATATTCTTTAACTTGGAATAAAAACACAGCAAATAATTTACCCAAAGTTTAACTGATCTCAATAAGTTAATAATATAATGGTATTAAATATGAAAATGCCAATAAATAGAAAGTTCTGACAGACTATTAGGCTCACAAAGCATGGTGTATCAGCTAGTTAGTCCCCTAATGTAGCCTCTGATCAAGCAAGTGAGTGTGCTTCAAAACTCATGACAAGGCTGGGAACAGTGACTGATGCCTATAAACCCAGCACTTTGGGAGGCCAAGGCGGGGGGGAATCACTTGAGCCCAGGAGTCTGAATCTAGCCTGGGAAACATAGCGAGACTACATCTCTACAAAAAACTAAAAATGAGCTAGGTGTGGTGGTGTGTGCCTACAATCTCCACTACTCAAGATGCTGAAGTGGATGGATCAGGAGTTCAAGGCTGCAATGAGCTATGATTGTGCCACTGTACTTCAGCCAGAGCAAGAGAGCATGAGCCTGTCTTCAAAAACAAACAAACAAATCACTCATGACAACTATGTATGAACAATTCTGGTCATTAGCTATCTTGGAAAATAGAAACAATGAGTCTACACTGGAGATTCCCCCAACACAGGTAAAATATACTCAGATTTGTATAATTCCATGGAAACAGACAGAAGCACCGAAAAATTTAGCATATTCTTTTCAACAGGATTTTTATAGAATTCTTCTTATTGCCACTATTTATAACCTTGAAGTCTTACTGCCCTCTCAACATTCCTAAATGAGTCTTTTTACGTATTATTTTAAATATGACTAAATTTATTAAATTAAACATTGTAGTATTTTTATCCAGTATCTAGTTTTATCATTATTTCCTTAGAAATTTAAGTTCATTAAACACTTTTTAAAAAGATCCTCCCAGCCAGGCTCGGTGGTTCAGCCTGTAATCCCAGTACTTTGGGAGGCCGGGACGAGTGGATTGCCTGACCTGCGAGTTTGAGACCAGCCCAGGCAACTTGGTAAAAACTTATCTCTACAATAAATCCAACAATTAGTCAGGTGTGGTGGCACATGCTTGTAGTTCCAGCTACTTGGAAGGCTAAAGCAAAAGGATCAACTGAGCCCAGCAGGTTGAGGCTACAGTAGCTGTTAGTGTACCACTGCACTCCAGCCTGGGCAACAGAGTGGGACTCCAACTCCAAAAAAACAAAAACAAAAAAGAGGTCTTCTGCTCAAATCTAAGCAGTTGTCCAAGTCTTTCTCTCTCTGTCTCTCTCTCCTTCCTCTCTCTCTGTCTCTCTCCTCTCTCTCTTTCCCTCTTTCTGTTCTTCCCCCCAATCACCGACACCATCTCCACCTTTGGGATACCCTGAACCTGGCACGAGCTGGACTCTCATAAGTGGTGCCCAACATGGGGCCTCAAGGTTAGAGGTACCGGAGGGCGGGGCGGGCCTCGCCTCAACATGATGGCTCCTACCCGGACCAGGCCGGAACTAAGACCCCAGCCGCAAAGCCAGCCAGTACCTGTTACAGCGATTCTAGCAACCCCGTTCAGCCAATCGCCAGCAGACGCGACAGCTGTCCCAATCAATGATCACTCTCCCCAATCCCTCTCACAGCTTTCTCAGAATGCCCTTTATAAACCTGTCGCCCATCTTGCTGGGTGCGACTTCTCCGGCCCACAGCTATAAGGACCGGAGAACCTCGCCCAGGATTGCACTAATAAATTTTTCTTGGCTTCTTTTAAAAAAAAAAAGAAAAGAAAAGGCCATTATCTAAGCTGCATCTGGATAGTGTATTTCTTTCAATTCTCACAATGACCATACAATCTCTAATTCCCAGGCCTTTGAACATTTAGAACCATCTTCTCCCCTTCTCTTCTCACAACCCCCCTTACCATTTTCTCAACAACCTCTTATCTGGCTAATTCAAACAATCACCACATAAGACTACTTCAAAGAAGCCATCCCTTACACTCAGTAAATAAATGACCACTCCTAACCAACAGCATTTGTCACAGTTTATTGTTATTGTTCATTATTTGTCTCTAGACTGAATCCCCAGAGCCTCACATAGTACTTGTCACATAGGAGAAAAATGCAATTTTACATAAATAATTGAATGATACAAATTCAGGAAACCAAACTATATTTTATAGCTCTTGAAAACTACATCTATAAAACTATACTTTATGGTTCTTAAAAAATGAATGGCCAGGCGCAGTGGCTCAGCCTGTAATCCCAGCATTTTGGGAGGCTGAGGTGGGAGGATTACCTGAGACCCAGGGTTTGAGACCAGCCTAGGCAACTTGGTGAGACTTCTTCTCTACAATAAATCACAAAAACTGGGGGCGGGCATGGTGGCTCATGCCTGTAATCCCTGCACTTTGGGAGGCCGAGGTGAGCGGACTGCCTGAGTCCATGGGTTCGAGACCAGTCTGGACAACTTGCCAAGACCTCATCTCTACAATAAATCAAAAAAATTAGCAAGGCATGGCACGTGCCTGTAGTTGCAGCTACTTGGAAGGCTGAAGTGGAAGGATCGCCTGAGCCCTGTAGGTCGAGGCTGTGGTGGCCGTGAGTGTGCCACTGCACTCCAGCCTGGGCGACAAAAGTGAGATTCCAACTCAAAACAACAACAACAAGAATGTATACATATAATAAATTGGGCTTACATTACACATTAATGCTTAATGGGTATATTTTTTGGTTTATTTTTCCAAAATTCAAGTACTTACCTTCATTCATTCTACAAACTGAAACTCTCACAGTACTGTGAGTTGCCACCATATCATGCAACATAACATATTGCTGAAAAAGAAAAAGGTAATTTAAAACTCTCCAGTATGAACCCACTACTTAAGATATTAAAAAGCAAGGGCACAAAAAAATAAGTTAACACAATACATGCATATTACTTCGCCTTTATACAATGTCAAGTTGCCAGGCGCAATGGCTCACATCTGTAATCCTAGCACTATGGGAGGCAAAAGTGAGATCATGGGTTTGAGACTAGCCTGGGCAACTTGGCCAAAGCTCGTCTTCACAATAAATCAAAATATTAGCCAAGCTTGGTGGTTTTGCCTGTTTTCAGCTTCTTGGAAGGCTGAGGCAGAAGAATCGCCTGAGCTCAGCAGGTCGAGGCTGTGATGGCCGTGAACATGCCACTGCACTCCAGCCTGGGTGACAGAGTGAGACTCAATTCAAAAAATAAGAAAGTCAAGAGTCAGAAATTCAAAGAATACTGATTATTTTATCTCAGACAAAATAATAAGCACTTTAATGCTTCTTAACCCTGAACACAGCAGAAACAGCCTATGAGTATTTGGTCTGTGATAAGCAACTATAAATCCTCATGGCCTTTAAGCAGTTAAGCTGTGGTCTTCGACTCTAAAAAGCATCTGTCTTCCCCCAACCTCCAACCCCCTAAAACAAACAAACAAACAAACAAAGAAGGGGGAGGAAAGAGTATATATTCATGCAACTAAAATAATAACTCCATTGAGCATTTACTTTGTACCAAGTACCATTCTACACACTTTCCAAGTTATTACAAAATACAAACAGTTGTGAAACCCATAATAAATCTGCACTTACCTTTCTAATGGAATATAATGAGCTTACAATTGATACTATAGACATAATCACAATAGCTAGAGCATAGTAATAGTATTCATCAGTGCTCCACAGTATAACACTGAACAGCTGGAAAATGTAAAATGGGTTGAGAACCTAAAAAACAAGATTTTAAAGGCAATTTGAGTGAAATATGTATAACGGTGCAGATATTCCAACCTTGAATTTGACAAGTAACCAAGAAGATACTTAGAGCACAAGTTGCATAGTAGAGTAGGGCAATATGTCATATTCTTATTTACCATTAAACTACTAAAATTTGACTAAATAAGCTTAATTTACATTATTGGCATCCATTTAGATTCATACCACCCCAATATAGATTCAGCTAGAAAAGGCTAAAGTATATGAATTTAGCTGTTCTGCATTCTATTTTAGCAATAAAGCACATTTATTTCCAATAACTGCTGTACTCTGGAATACTAAAATGTAAGACTTTTAACCAAATGAAACAAATGGTTACTTGTTATGAACTCAAAATCCAAATTTACTTATATGACAAGAGTTCACTGAATTTCAAATGGACGACAAATATGAGTTAATGAGTTACACTGTTTCAATTTCTCTAATAAAATAATTATCAAATCATGAAAAACAGATTACCAAAATGTCATGGTACTAGCTGGCCATAGTAGCTCATGCCTGTAATCCTAACACTTTGGGAGGCAGAGGCAAAAGCACTGCCTGAGCCCATGGGTTCAAGACTGGCCTGGGCAACTTGGCAAGACCTCATCTCTGCAATAAACCAAAAAATTAGGCGGGTGTGGTGACACACCCCTGTAGTTCCAGCTACTTGGAAGGCTTAGATGGAAGGATAATCTGAGCCCAGCAGGTTGAGGCTACAGTAGCCATTAGTGTGCCACTGCACTCCAGTCTAGGTGACAGAGTGAGACTCTGACTCAAAAAACAAACAAAAAAAAGAGGTTGGGCTCAGTGGCTCAGCCTGTAATCCTAGCACTTTGGGAGGCCGAGGTGAGTGGATTGCCTGAGCCCGCGGGTTCGAGACCCGCCTGGGCAACTTGGCGAGACCTCATCTCTACAACAGATCAAAAATTAGCCGGGCGTGGTAGCGCGTGCCTGTAGTTCCAGCTACTTGGAAGGCTGAGGCGGAAGGATTGCCGGAGCCCAGCAGGTGGAGCCTGCGGTGGCCGGGAGCGGCCATTGCACTCCAGTGTGGGTGACAGAGTGAGACTCCAACTCAAAAAAACAAAAAAAAAAACAAAAAAAAAAAAAAGAAAAGTTTTATTAATAACCTCCAATGTCTTAAAATTGATGCTGCTGTACTTTTTAAAGAACTTGCATATATATAGACCAATTTTACCTCAAAATCAAAAAGGATAATTAGAAAAAATGTGTTCCAATTTTACAGATAAAGAAGCAGCAGCGAAAATTAACTAAAGATCAAAGCTAATTATTGATGGAACTGTATTACAAAATCCAATTCCTAATCATTTCACTATGCTATGTTTTTAAGCAACATATGGCCACACTTACGAACTGATGAAAAACAATCTTATTTCTACTAAAACTATTCACCTAATACAACGAACTTTTGACCCTTGGGGAGGAAGAAAAAGACTAAGATTGGTAAGCCTACATCTACTAGGCAAAGTCACTTACTCCCTTCCTTAAATGCCCCCAATCCTCAACTGAACAATCCAGTCACTACATAGCTATCAACATTTCCTCCCACACTACAGTGCTAGCTCCTCGGGGTCAATCATTGTCATGTTTTGTATTTCAAACTTCAAGAACAAAGCCTAGTCTCCAAAAATGCACCATTAAACACCATGTGAAGAAGTAAATGTGATAAATTTGTTTTTAAAAAAAAAAAGAGAGAGAGAAAAGAGACAGGTGTATATATCTGTAAGATAGGGAAAGATTTGAATCTGCAACTTGAGAGTTAAAAGCAAAAATCAATAGATAATAACAGCAGAATTAGACAAAATTTAAAAAATAATCCCTACCAAAGTAGAAAAAATGTCTTTGCTCTACCTTTACCTTCCAAGTAAAACAATATGCAACAAGAGACCAGGAAAAAGAAAACCAAGAATATCTTATCACTTAGTCATGACTCTTTCCAAATTGACAAATCTATTGATCACAATTGTTTAATTACATACAATAGTCTTACCTCTTTAATTAAAAGCTTAAAAACAGAAGGCACTTTCACAGTAATTTCATTTACTCCATAAAGCAGTTTTCTATAACAGGAAAACATAATATTATTATTATGTTATATTATAGTATAATATAGCATATATTTTAATAGTGTAAGTTAAGGAAGGCATTGCATTTCTGCTCTTAAACTCATGTTTCTAAATACTTGTCCTCCACAGTTCAAACTCTCTACCAACCGAAGTTAAGTCAAAGAAGTTAATACTAGATAACCACACTGTTAACATTTTATTTTTTCATATCTTTATGTACGACAAGTATCTTTCCCATTCGTCTATAACATGTAAGCAATGGCTCTCTTCTCTATCCTTGAACACATTAGATCTTATCAATTTTGAATTACAATTAATTTTTGCAAAAAACCAAATAAATTTGAAGGATCTTATATATTTGTCTAGTAAGAATATTGTACCGAGAGTTTAGTTCAAAACACTGAACATTTGGCTTTTACAAAAAAATGCTTTAATAGTTGTTTAAATTCTTCCACTTAATTCCTTAGAATAGTATTTTCTATGATATAATCATTCATGCCTCTTATGAAGTATAAGTCTAAATGAGTGTATATTTTTTATGTCTTAAACCTTTGAAAGAACATACTACAAAAATACAAAAAAATTTCTAATTTAATTTGAAAGTGGCATTTATCCTTAAAACAGGTGATACACAGGTATATTTTTGTGCTTTCACAAAGAATAACACTATGAAAAAGTTTATGTCTCCCAATTTACAAATTTTCATTTTGGTGAATTTGACCTTATGTTTACAATTCCCAATAATATATTTCAGAAAATATAAGATGCTATCAATTGTAAGGCATACCATTACTTTATGTACGATCAAGAAAAAAAAATGCGGTCAAAGAATGACACTCTACCAGTTATATGACACATCCCAATTTCAGAGATGCTAAAATATGGAAAAATGTGTGCCTTAGTACTGATGAAATATGGTATTTCAGGGATATCAACTTCAAAATATCAATTTTAACATTTTTATAATTCTTAAACTAAGAGACAGTTTTACCCAAATAAAATATCAACTACTACGTCTATAATATTTAAATACTTGTTAATATGTACAACTACATGGTAAAGGGTTGACTATGTATACTACTGATTTTAGAAATTTTGAGAATAGATCTAACTTTAGTTAGATAAAAATTACCTGTAGGCATGCATCCCCTTTGTCAGTCCTGCACTATGCTTTTCATAAATTGACGTACAAGAAACACCTTCATCCAGTCCCCTAAATAAATCCAAAGTTTTTACTTTAAACAAAGTTTAAAATATCCAAATTTCTTAACGCCTCATTTTTCTATATGCCTGATTTTAAAAGTGGGACTTCCTTACAAATTTCTTAGAAACCCTTAACAAAAATTTAGAGGTAATGAATGAGAATTTTAAAATCTCAAATTCTTAAGATAATAATGAAAAGCCTAAGACTCAAACACCACAATTTCTAAGTTATCCATGGTAGATATGAGCGTTCTAAGTACAAGTTTATATCATAATATCATTATACTTTACAGTTGTGCCAAAGCTGTTCAGAGTTCACAATTAAACTTTAAGGAAAAGCATAACTAACTTGAAAATTCCAAACTTAAGAAGAAAAATATTTACTTTTCTTCTACATAGTTTCTCCTTTTCAATTTTAGATCCAAACTAGGAAGTCCTATTCATTTTCTTCCATCCCCTAAAAGCACCAATCCAAATCCTTCCCTAAGCTAATGCAAACCTATGTTAGCAGTGTAAAACTTATGAGTCACAGACAATGCCTAAAATCTGTAATAATTCTAACTGGGATTAATTAACGTATCTACTTTTCCTCAAAATGTCTTAACACATTTGCGACCAGCAAATTTTTAACATTCCGAATACTAAGAGTGGATGAAAATTAAAAAAAATCTGAAGCTGGATGCCACAAACTTCTGTTGTTAAGCACAAGTGAAATAGTTTTTCTAAATTGTCACCTTTTTTATAATACAGCTGAAAGTTGCAGACATATCTAGCATTTGCTTCCGACACCACTCTGACTAGTACTCCATATTTTGTATTTTTATTTGGATTATAAACCCAAAAAGACAGTCTTCCACTATAAGGTAAATTCATGTGAGCGGCAACCAAGAACAGAATGTGGAATGATGCAAATTCATATCAGCAGTCGCAAATGAGTTAATTATGCTCATTTAAACTGAGATACCAGTTATAGAAATCTAAAGGAAAGACAATGCTACATGCACTTAATTTCAATCCTTTTCCACTTTTTTCACATAGGAAAGCTAAGTTTCATAATTCACTGCTACAATTGGAATAAGTTTAAATTTTATTAAGTTCTATGGCTAGTAAAAGACAAACCACAAATATGCTTGACATTTCTTCCCAATGAATTTGATGACTTCTACAAAATGCATCAGCGACCAGTGACAAGGCAAATAAACTTTTTAACAAAATGGGAGCTCACTGGCAATTCCTTTAAGGTAATCATTCTTAATCAGGAATACTGTTTAGGACTGGGCATGTGGAAATATCCAAGCTCACCCCAGAATGTTGTAGTTCTTTAGTGTATCTGAGAAAAAAATTCAGGCATGAATATTTTAAATGTTCATAATATGATTCTTGTTTTTACTGCTAGAATTAAGAATTTCTGGCTGGGCGTGGTGGTTCAAGACTGAGTCCAGCAGGTCAAAGCTGCGGTGGCCATGAGCGTGCCACTGCACTCCAGTCTGGGCGACAGAGAAAGACTCCAACTCAAAAAAAAGAAAATCTCCAGGTGCAGTAGCTCACACCTATTCCCAGTACTTGGGAAGGCCGAGGAGAGAGGACTGCCCGAGCCCACGGGTTCAAGACCAGTCTGGGCAACTTGGTGAGACCTCGTCTCTACAATATATCAAAAAATTAGCCAGGTGTGGTGGTATGTGCCTGTAGTTCCAACTACTTGGAAGGCTGAGGCTGCAGTGGCCGTGAGCATGCCAACTCAAAAAAAAAAAAAAAAAGAGTTTCCCTGGCACTCAAAAGCAATGATATTAACGAATGTTTATATACTAATTTTAACAACAGTGATAAAAACAGAATCCTAATTAATTTAGTACTCTGAACAAAAAATAAAATTTTAAGAAATTACCACAATTTTGTTCTACCTAAAATTTAGTCACATTTGACAATGTCCTATTCTTTACCCATACAGTAAAATTAAATTTTTGTTCATCTATTACTTCATTCTTCAAGTACAACCAAAGGTAACCGTCAGCAAAGTAACAGATATTCAGATACTCTAAGTTAGAACATAGACTATGAGGTGTACTCAAAATTCGCTGTAAGGTAAAACTGAAAAGAACTCCAAACCAGAGTAGATTTTCGCATCATACTGATTCTTTTATGTAGATTTTGAACACAAGTTGTGAGTGGAAATTTTTTTTTCTTAGATAAATACTGTAGGCCTGGTGTGGTGGCTCATGCCTGTAATCACAACACTGTGGGAGGCTGAGGTAGGAGGATTAATTGAGCCGAGTTCATAACCATCCTGGGCATCATCATGAGACCTCATTTTATTTTTATTTTAAAAATAAAATAAAAGGGTGGACTTATTTTTAAATGATTAATGAGCCTTCAAAACACTTTAGGAAGTTGTCAATGAGTAAGTGAATGAGTAAGTGAATAAAAGTTACAATATAAAAACCTCATCAAGTTTATATAAGAACAGAATGGATTCTTTTCTACCTAGAACATTTTCAGGACACTCATAGTATAATCAAACAAAAGATACTCACTTTAAGAAATCAAAATTGTGAATGGTATCATTCCAGAAATATTTTACACTATGGTGGGTGAAATAGCGAATCTGTGGAACATATATAAATGTTATATTAAAAAGCATATCACCACTTGTGACATGTAATCTATTACTTTATTACACCTAACGAGTGTTAAATACAGTGATAAGTATTTTATAGGTATGCACATTTATCTCAAGCACTTATAACTGCAAATACAAAACTACAGGCTATATATAATAGTATAAAATGTAGTAATTTTGATTTTTCAAAGAACTTTGACATTAAGATCACAATACCTGGTGTAACTGAGTCTGTGAATATTTGTTCATCTCATGCTTATTCTCGTCAGTCGGATTCTCAATTAAATGAACTGCATGGCCATTTGCAACCTTATGAGCTATAGATTTTTTATTTGAAAATGGATGACTTTCCAGAGAAAGAAAGCGAATTTTTGCACAAAACCACATTTTGAATTCATCCTTAGAAGAGACAAAGGAGAAAAGAGTCAACTGTATTATATAACTGCCTGTATTTTTATTTAACTTTCATTCTTCACATCAAGAGTCCCCAACCCCCAGGTTGGGTCCCTGGCCTGTTAGGAACTGAGCTGCACAGCAGAAGGTGAACGGAGGTGAATGGCGGGAGAGAAAGAGCAAAGTTTCATCTGTATTTATAGGCAGCTCCCCATGGCTCGCATTACCACTTGAGATCTGCCTGTCAGATCAGCGGTGGCATTAGATTCTCATAGGAGCACAAACCCTATTATGAACTGCACATATGAGGAATCTAAAACGGGTGCTCCTTATGTGAACTGCATGCTTGATGATCTGAGTTGGAGCTGAGGCAGTGATGCTAGCACTGGGGAGTGACTGCAAATACAGATTAACATTAGCAGTGAGGTGTGACTGCAGAGATCATAATAAATCAATGCTTACAGACTCATATCAAAACCCTATCAGTGAGTGGCAAGTAAGTTGATGTACTTCAATTGCACTTCATATATCACTGACACAAACATCAATATTCCATAAATGATCATGAGTAATTTCTTAATTTACCTATCAATATACTGACACTAGATATTAAAACCTCTTATAAAATGCTTCCAATCAGATTTTAGATTAAACAAAAAAGCCTGAGATGCAACAGTACTACTGGCCCAGTATATGAGATCTGACCTATAGCCCTAATGAACCTTAATAGACAAGTACATAATCTCTCAGGGTATCAAGAGCTGTAGGGAAGGGAGTGGATTTCATCATCTTTAAGATTCCTTTAAAATCACTGTAATAATATGTACTTTAGAAATACTACCATTAATATTGTATATTAATTGTATCCTGGTAGCAATGTTCCCTTCATATATTATTTTGAACAAAGTATACACAGACACATTGCTTTACTCCTCAAATAAACTCCAAGCAAATACATGGACTTACAGTAGTCCTCAGCAGCACCACTTCACAGTCCTTAATTGCAGCTCTGATACAAGTTGCTTTCACCCGCCACTCGGGCATCCAATACAGAAGGAGGAGGAGAAACCCGCCAGTGCAAATCACTCCTAACGAAACTAGGGCAAGCTTCCAGCGACTCAAATTATAACCATAAATCTCCTGCATAAACATAGTGATCATATCATTAATTATCAAAGGACATGGCAGATATTTACATTCCAAGGTTCTTTGCTTTCCAGAAAGGACTTGAAATATAAACTGTAAATATTTTCCTAATCCATAATTTACCTTTAAATTTTGTTTCTGACAAGTTCACTGTCAAAGTTATATTTTAAGCCGGGCTCGGTGGCTCAGCCTGTAATCCCATGCTTTGGGAGGCTGAGGTGAGTGGATTGCCTGAGCCCACGGGTTCAAAACCCGCCTGGGCAACTTGGCAAGACCTCATCTCTACAATAAATCAAAAAATTAGCTGGGCGTGGTAGCGTGCGCCTGTAGTTCCAGCTACTGGAAGGCTGAAGCGGAAGGATTGCCGGAGCCCAGCAGGTCGAGAATGCAGTGGCTGGGAACAGCCACTGCACTCCAGTCTGGGTGACAGAATGAGACTCCAACTCAAAAAAAAAAGGTTACATTTTAAGTAAATTTGTTGACACTATACTTTATGGTTTTATATTTAATATTATGCCTAGTACGCTCTTTCCAACTGACATGGTAGATTATTTAGTGCACTTTTCTAACATGTTTATAATTTCATTTTTACATACCTTTTTAATTCTTCCAGAATTTATCTTGTTATGAGGTGAGGGTTATTTTTTAAATATACTTTTTATGTTGGAATACATTTCAGATTTATAAGCCATGGTGGCACAGGCCTGCAATCCCAGCACTTTGGAAGGTGGAAGCGAGAGGATTGCCTGAGCCCAGGGATCAAGATCAGCCTGGGCAACTTAGCAAGACCTCTTCTTTACAATAAATCAAAGTACGAGCCAGGTATGGTGGCGTATGCCTGTAGTTCCAGCTACTTGGAAGGCTGAGGTGGAAGGATCACCTGAGTCCAGCAGGTCGAGATTGCAGCAGCCATGACTGTGCCACTGCACTCCAGCGTGGGCGACAGAGTGAGACTCTGACTCAAAAAAAATAAAAATTAAAAATTTAGATATATGGAACAGTTCCAAAAATTTTACAAAGGTCCTGTATAATCTCTGTCTAGTTTCCCTTAATATCAACATCTTAGCATATTTTTCAAAATCAACAGATTTAATATTGTTGCACTAAATTCAGTCTTAAGATTTCACTGGTTTTCCACCAACATCTTATTTCTGTTCCAAGATACAATTCAGAATACCACACTGCATTTAAATGAAACAGATTTTAACTTTATTGATTTCCAAGTGCTTTGTTAATCGTCCCAACACCACTGTGATTCATCAGTTTGACCCAGTGACCCAAATTTAACAAATGAATATGTAGCGAGGTTAGTTAAATCAAAATTTCAAATTTCAAATAAACAACCAATAATTCTTTTGTTTGTCCCAAGCAACATTTGGGATACACTTATTCTAAAAATGTATTCCTTGATTACCTGACCTGTACATTTAACAGGGCATCTTATATTTTACCTGACATATGTCTGGCTCCCTGCCAAAAAAGTAAAGTTGTTTTACTACTAAGTTGATGTTTAAAATTTTTATAAATCAAAATTAGAAATATTTATTTGGGATTATATTTAAGTGTTAGTGAACGTAATGTCTTAAACCACCAAATGCAAAAACATACTACACTTAAGTTTTTAAAAGTTCACATTTTAAAAAAAATTATACTAAAAGCAACTACAAGATATTACATAATTCCAATTCAAAAACACGATGAGAAAAGAAGCTCATTGAGTTAGTTATTGTTGTTTAATTGCACTTTGCTACTCTCTAGAATAATATATTGCAGAAATAAAGTCTTCGTAGTTCACAAGTAAACTATTAAAGCTGGTTACCATTTCATCTTCTTGACCCTGATTGATAGTCTTCCTTTCTTCTTTGTCCATATCTACAGTGGTTTAAAGGTCTTGTATTTCAGAACAATTGAAGATAACTGAGGAAAAAAAAGGAACAAATGTTAATGAATTATTTTACATATGACTTCATTCTATTAATTGTCTATTATTCCATCAAAGTGCTCTTTTAAAATATTTTGATTGACTTTGAATTCTTCCAAAGCAATGAACACTTGCCGGTGGGAGATTTCCTATGATATACACGTGTCAAACTTTAATCAACATTTAAGTAATCACTAAAGCGCTAGCTGGTTTTAATGACACTTTCAATGGGATGCTAGTTCTTGAACTTACGTTATTCACTACCACAAAATGTGGCATGTTTCATTAATTACTTTGTATTAGCAGCAATGTTGATACAGAACAATTTAAATTCTGAGAACTACTAACAGAATCTTCCTTTTTCATTCCACAGAGTCAGGGAAGTGGCTTAGATGAACCATCTTGAGCTAAAAGTATTCACATAACTCAAATTTATTCCCTGAATTATAGTAAAGAGGTACAGCACCAACATTGAAATCAAACCAAAAATTCCTCAGAAATTATTAAGCACCCAACAAATATTTACTGAGCACTTAATAAGTGAATGGCAATCCTTGACCAAGAGTCAATCACTATGGCAGGTGTGCCTCTAATGGAAAGCAATAAACTGACTCCAACACTCTGAGTCCAATTCTACCAGGGAATCTTTGTTTCTGACTACCCATGAAGCTTTGCCTATGGAGAAAATTCACTGAGCCCACTGACACATTTTTTCCTTTTATTTTTGTATTTCAAATGTTAGACATTCAGTTGCACATTAAAGCAATTTGTAAAACGTAAAACAATACCAGTTTTCTCACTTTTTTGGTTTTTTAAGAAACAGATATTTTCAGAAAAATTAATATTTTCAGAAAAATTAACTTATGTTATCAACAAAACCCAAATAAACAAAAGTTCTTGAGCACTCACAAAAATTTAAGAGTGTAAAGAAGTTTGAAACCCAAAATTTTGAGAACCACTGCTTGAGGTTGATCTCTGCAGAACACAGTAGGAATATTACCTCCCCCACCCTGGGAATACTACCTCTACCCATCTACCTAGCGCACAGCAGAGTTGACAATAGTAGGCACTCAAAAACATGAATTAGATAAATGACCAGAGAAAAATATTGTGCTAAGATAGTAATAGTTATTTATTTTTACATGATACAAACTAATAGCCAAGTAAAAAACAAATGCAGAATTTTAAAGTAACCCCATACATAAGACTGTTGATACTTCTTGATGTCATACCATCAACAAAATAACCAATAAAAATATTTAGGTCGGCTGCGTTGGCTCACACCTATAATCCCGGCACTTTGCGAGGCTGAGGTGAGAGGACTGCCTGAGTCCACGGGTTAGAGACCAGCCTGGGGAATTGGGTGCAACTTCATCTCTATGATAAATTTTTTTAAAAATTAGCCTGGCATACTGGCACATGCCTGTAGTTTCAGCTACTTGGAAGGCTGAGGCAGAAGGATCACCTGAGCCCAGCAGGTTGAGGCTGTGGTGGCTGGGAGAGTGCCACCGCACTCCAGCCTCTGGGCGACCTGGGCAACGGAATGGGACTCCAACTCAAAAAAAAAAAAAAAGAAAAAATTATTAAGCTTGGTGTCATAGAAAAAAATGAAACCTTTAAGGTACCAGGTCCAAATTTTCTAGAACAAGCCACAATATCCTACAAAACCCTTTGGGTGACTATTAACAAGTTATTCTCCATCTAGGGCAGTGTTACAGTCCCAAATCATCTTACCAGAGTTAACCCACCATGACAATAATGACCCATCAAATCAATACACCTTGAGGTGATAGCTATTCTCAAGGGCTATGCCTGCTATTATAAACTATGGTGAGAATAAGCAAGACCAACCTCTTTCCCCATAGAAAAGATCAGCTATCATAGCCTGAATGTATATAATATAGCTCAACCCTGTACATGCCTGTCTTCAAATGTGAGGCAAAGACCCTTTGCTCTGAGACTGTCCCCACTAAAGAATACTAGCCTGGGGTTCTTAATCTTTAATGTGATTCTTCCCTAGGCTCCAGAATGAACTTTGGGATTATCACTCAGCAATCACTGTGATTTTTGGTAACCAATTCTGATCCCCATTTCCCATCACCACCACCTAAAATGCATCCTGGGAGGGAGGAAAAAACTACTTCAAATTCTTATACAGACTTCTGTTTCCAACCTAGTTGAAGTAACAGGGACCATATTTGACCTCCTGCCCAAAACAACAAAAACAAAACAAACAAAATATATGGTGGTTTTCAAGGAGTTGGACATCAGGCAAAGACAGACACTGATAACTGAGAGATGGGAAGCAAACTACAATAGTCTCAGTGTACTGAAAGGACTTTACAGATCACAAAATGGCAAGAGAGGGAGCCCACAGAGAGCCTAGCAGTTTCCATGAGTTGAGAAGACACAGACTGGAGTCTGGGGAAGCACGAAAGCCATGAGGTTTGAAGGTCAGATCCACCAGAGAAAAGACTGCTATGGAAAAAGAACACTACTGATCAGCAAGATACTTCTCTCCTGCCCAAGCCTTCAGCTGAGAACTGATCAGCACTTTTATGTAAAGAAACCAACCAAGGCAAGGGGAAAGAATCACACAAAATGATTAAGAGGGGAAAACCACCAGGTCTCACACAGGGCTGGGAACTGTACCCATTTCCACCAATCTCATTGGAAAACAAGGAATCAGGGACAGTATTCAATAAAGTTTTTGCTTCAGAAATAGGATATAATTAGCTATGAGCAAAAACTGCTCTGGCCCTGCCTAGCAAAGCTTAAACATAAGAACTGAAAGAATAAAGTTGTTTCCAAGTTACTTAACTGCCTAACAGAAAAATGTTTAGAAATTTTCTTAGTACAAAAAATTCAGTACCCAGTAAGTCACAAGGTCTGACAAGCAATTAAATCTTAACAGGCACGCAAAGAAGTAAGAAAAAAATAACCCACAATGAGAAATCCAAGCAACAGAAAAGGACCCAGAACTGACATAATAGCACTGATAGACAAGGACATTAAAACAGCTATTTTAACTGTATCCCCTTTGATCAAAAAGCAAGAAGACTGAACTTGTTAACTGAAGGCATAAAAAATAAAATAAAATCTGGCTGGACGCAGTGGCTCACACCCATAATCCCAACATTTTGGGAGGCAGAAGCAAGAGGACTGCCTGAGCCCAGAGGTTCAGGACCAGCCTGGACAACCTGGTAAGTTCTTGTCTCTACAATAAAACAAAAAATTAGCCGGCATGATGACTTGTAGTTCCAGCTACTTGGAAGGTTGAAGCAGAAGGATCACCTGAAACAAGCAAGTTGAAGCTGCAGCAGCCATGAGCATGTCACTGCACTCCAGGCGAGGTGACAGAATGAGACTCTGACTCAAAAAATAAAGAAAAAAGAACCAAATGAAACTTAAGATTAAAAAGTACAGTGTCTGGGATGAAAACTACAACAGATGGGATTAATAGCAGATCAGATATTGTAGAAGAGAAATCAATGAACTCAAAGACACAGAACTAGACACTTTCCAAAAAGAAGGAGAAAAATTTTTTAAATCCTAGTAGCATCAGTAAACAATGTGACATCAAGTACCCTAATGCACATATAGAGTGAGAAGTGAATGGGGAAGCAGAAAATATGATAATGGCCAAAATTTTCCACATTAAATGAAAACTAAGAGCCCACAGATCCAAGAAGTTTAACTAACACTAAGCAAAGAAACTAGGCCAGGCAAAGTGGCCCACACCTGGAATTCTAGGATTGTGAGAGCCCAGGCAGGCAACATAGCAAAACCTCGTCTCTACAAAAAATAAAGATCAGCCAGGCGTGGGGGTGTGAGCCTGTAGTCCCAATTCCCGGGGGGGGGGGGGGGG